AAATTCTGCATGAGTGAAATCACATGGTATTTGTCTTTCTCGGACTTATTTCACTTAGGATTATACTCTCTAGCTCCATCCATGTCATTGCAAATGGCAAGATTTCATTCTGTTTTATGGCTGAGTAATATTCCATTGTATATGTACACTACATCTTCTTTATCCAGTTCACCCATCAGTGGACACTCAGGCTGCTTCCATAGTTTGTCTATTGTAGATAATGCTGCTATAAACATAGGAGTTCATGTATCCCTTCAGATTAGTGTTTTTGTATTATTTTGGTAAATACCCAGTAGTGCAATTACTGGATTTGTAGAGTAGTTCTGTTTTTATTTTTTTGAGGAAACTCCCTACTGTTTCCCACAGTGGCTGCACCAGTTTGCATTCCCATCAACAGTGCGTGAGGGTTCCTTTTTCTCCACATCCTTATCAACACTGGTTTCTTGTGTTGTTGATTTTAAACATTTGGACAGGTGTGAGGTGATAGCTCATTGTGATTTTGATTTGCATTTCCCTGATGATGAGTGATGTTGAGCATCTTTTCATGTGTCAGCCATCTGGATATCTTCTTTAGAGAAATGTCTGTTCCTGTTTTCTGCCCATTTTTTAATTGGATTTGGGGTGTTGAGTTGTAAAAATTCTCTATATATTTTGGATAGTAACCCTTTATCGGATGTGTCATTTGTGAATATCTTCTCCCAATCAGTAAGTTGTCTTTTAGTTTTGTTGACTCCTTTGCTGTTCAGAAGCTTTTTATTTTGATGAAGTCCCAATGGTTTATTTTTGCTTTTCTTTCCCCTGCCAAAGGAGACATAGCTAGAAAAACATTGCTATGGCCAGTGTCAGAGAAATTACTGCCTGTGCTCTCTTCAAGGATTTTTATGGTTTCAGGTCTCATATTTAGGTCTTTAATCCATTTTGAGTTTATTTTGTGTATGGTGTAAGAAAGTGGTCCAGTTTTCCTATTATCATTTGTTTTTGTTTGTTTTAAAGATTTTATTTATTTGACAGAGATAGAGCAGGAACACAAGCAGGGGGAGTGGGAGAGGGAGAAGCAGGCTTCCCGCGGAGCAGGGAGCCCGATGCGGGGCTCAATCCCAGGACCCCGAGATCATGACCTGAGCTGAAGGCACTGAGCCACCCAGGCACCCCCTAATATCATTTGTTGAAGAGACTTTTATCGCATATTCTTGCCTTCTTTGTTGGAGATTAATTGACCATATAATTGTGGGTTTATTTCTGGATTTTCTGTTCCGTTCCATTGGTCTATTATTTTTTTTTTTTTTGAGAGAGAAGAGAGCAAGCACACATGAGCAGGGGAGGAGCAGTTGGAGATTAATTGACCATATAATTGTGGGTTTATTTCTGGATTTTCTGTTCCGTTCCATTGGTCTATTATTTTTTTTTTTTGAGAGAGAGAAGAGAGCAAGCACACATGAGCAGGGGAGGAGCAGTGAGGGAGAGAGAGGAAGGGGGAAGAATCTAAAGCTGACTTCGCACTGAGCGCGGCGCTTGATGCGGGGCTCGATCTCACAACCCTGAGGTCATGACCTGAGCTGAAACCAAGAGTCGGATGCTTAACCAACTGAGCCACCCAGGCGCCCTAATCTATGTATTTTGTGCTAGTACCCTAGTTTTGATTACTACAGCTTTGTAATAGAACTTGAAGTCTGGAATTGTGATACCTATAGTTTTGTTTTTTCAAGATTGCATTGACTATTTGGGGTCATTTGTGGTTCCATACAAATTTTAGGATGGTTTGTATTCTTGGCTGCAGACTTTTCCCTTTTAGCACTTTGAATATATCATGCCACTCCCTTCTGGTTTGCAAAGTTCATGCTGAAAGAGCAGCTGATAGCCTTTTGGGGTTTCTCTTGCATGTAACGGTCTTTTTCCTCTTGCTGCTTTTAACATTTTTTATCACTATTTTTTGCCACTTTAATTACTATGTGTCATGGTGTGGACCTCCTTGGGTTGATTTTTTTGAGGGATCTCTATGCCTCCCGGATCTGGATATCTGTTTCTTTCCTCAGAGTAGGGAGGCTTCAGCTATTATTTCTTCAAATAAATTTTCTGCTCCCTTTTCTCTTTCTTCTTCTGGGATCCCTAAAGTGCAATGGTTATTATGCTTGATGGAGTCACTGAGCTTCAAAGTCTATTCTCATTTAGCGTAATTTTTTTCCTCACCTGCTCAGATTGCTTTCCATTACTCTGCTTCCTCTAACCTGCTACGTATTACATCTAGTGTATTTTAAATTTCATTTATTATTTCTGACTGGTTCTTTTTTATCTCTGTGTTAAGGGTCTCGCTGATGTCCTCTACTCTTTTCTCAAGTCCAGTGAGTATCTTTATGATCATTACTTTAAATCCTCTATCAGTCATATTATATCTGTTTCCCTTAGGTCTTTTGTTGTGGTTTTGTCCTGTTCTTTCATTTGGGACATATTCCTCTGTCTGCTCATTTTGTCTAGTCCTCTGTGTCTGTTTCTGTTAGGATAGTCAGCTGCCTATCCAGCTCTTGAAAGTAGTAGGTGGGGTGCGCGCTTCTGACAGGATGGCACTGTCCTTTTACAGAGGGGTGGTGCCCCCACTGCCCAGTCCCAGGCCAGCCCGGACTGCTCCATAAAGTGTGTGTGGGATGTGTGGTGCCCGCATGTTCTGCGTGCCAGTCCTCTTGCACAGGTGACACACAGCCTCAAGGAGACAGGCTGGCCAGGGCCACCCTGCAATGCGCAGGCAGGGCGTGCAGTCTTCACAGGGAGCGAGCATCCTCCACAGGGGGTGACCCGATGCTGCTGCCAGGACCGAGGCCCTGCAAAACACACAGTAGGGTCACACCACTTCGGCAAGGTTGCAAAGGCCTTCTGGGGAGGGGACCCCCAGCACCAGGACTGAGGCAGGCCTGGCTGCAGGGGACAGGCCGCGGTGGAAGCAAGTTATGTAATGAATGCTGGGCCCCATTCTGGTTCTGCTGGGCGGGGGAGCTCCTTTGTTCCTGGAGGAGTCTCTCAGAGAAATCTGTCCCTCTGGTCCAGGCTCTGAGATTAGTAAATAACTCTCTCCCATCTGCCACAGGCATCTTTCAAACTGCCCTTCCAGGCCGCACCTTTGCAGTCGGTTTGTTGGGCTGTCTCTCTAAGAGGTTTCCTCTCCCCCTCCAGCCTCTCTGGGAACTGAGCCTGCTGATTTTTAAAGTTCCAGGCTTTAAGTTCCAGCTGGTTGTAAGAACTCGGGAAATTTGGCCCGGCCGGTTTTCGGAGGCCCCCAGGTGTGAGGATCTGTTTATCTCCGCCCTCGGCGTGCAGACAGCCACAGCCCCTTAGCTCCCAACCACGTCTCCACTCTTCCTGCCCTCACTTGTGGGTCCAGTTCTCTACCTGTACTTGTGGAGTTGGTCCTGCCAGTCTTCGGGCCCTTTTCTGGGATGTGTTATCCAGTTGTATCAGTGCAATGAGGTGCGCTCAGGGTCCTCCTACTCTGCCATCTTCCCGGAAGTGGAGGTTACGCTTTTAAAAACAAAACAAACCTGCCCGACTGTTGCCCCCAGTGGGTGCGCCATTTTACGCTCGCGCTAGGAGGGCAGGAGGGGTCTGGGTCCTCCACAGATTCCCCAGCACTTGTTATGGACGTTTTGATTCTAGATGTCCTGGATGGGTGTGCCTGTTGCCCTGATCACGAATGATGCCAAGCATCTTCCCATGTGCTTATTGGACGTTTGTATCTTTTCCTGGGAGAAATGTCTCTCCAGATCTTTTGCCCATTTTTAAATTGAGTTGTCTTTTTATTGTTTTAAGAGTTCTTTATGTTACGTATTTTAGATCTAAGTCCCTTGTCAGATAAAGTGATTTTGCAAATATTTTTTCCCTTTTTGTGGCTGTCTTTTCACTCTCTTGATGGTATCTTTTCAAGTTTTAAATTTTGATGAATTTTATGTTCTTTTGTTGTTCATGCTTTTGGTATCATATTTAAGAACCCTTTGCCGGGGCGCCTGGGTGGCTCAGTTGGTTAAGCGACTGCCTTCAGCTCGGGTCATGATCCTGGAGTCCCAGGATCGAGTCCCCCATCGGGCTCCCTGCTCGGCGGGGAGTCTGCCTCTCCCTCTGACCTTCTTCCCTTCATGCTCTCTCTCTACCATTCTCTCTCTCTCAATAAATAAATAAAAAATCTTTAAAAAAAAAAAAAAACCCTTTGCCAAATCCTGGGCCATGATCTGTTCCTATATTTTTCTTCTCAGAATTTTATAGTTTTTACTCTTATATTTAGGTCTTTGATCCATTTTGAGGTTAGGATCCAACTTCATTCTTTTACATAGACATTCCTGAACTGCTACAAATAATAAATTTTAAGGCATCCCACCTTATCTAGGTTTTGTTTCCTGTTATTTGGCGAGATTAGTCCTAGAAAAGGAGGAATTTACATATAAATACTCATGAGATGGCAAGCAATCCTGTTTCCTACTCTTGTTTAAAATAGAGCACTGATGATAGGTACAGGAATGGCAAACAAATTCTGGATCTTATGCCGGTTTTGGTTTGCCATATAATACAGTTCTAATCTTCTGCTTACTTGAAACGAGGCATTTGAAATTTTTTGAATGGTGAACTCTGCTTGAGGACAGAAACAGGAGGAAATGATTATAGAAGCAGGATATGGAAACTGGATACAAACCCTTTCAAAATTATTTGATCACTATCATGATTATTTTGGCTTGTAAATATCCACATTACTATACAGCTTTATATCTAATTTGGTTAATGTGGGCATTGTCTAGTGTTTTAGTAAGGGATTAAAACAAGGTAAATTCATTGCTGCAGAGAGAACTCTGAAAGAAGATTTTGTCCACACTGAGAAAAGTTAAATATAAAAGCAACTAAAATGAACACTGTAGTCGAACAGGTATGTCCTCCTTTCAGATGAGTATGGCATCTTCAGTCTCCAGCAAGAGAGACCTTGTTTATCTTTGTCTAGAGTAATACTGAACAATTAACTGTCTTTGTAGACCGGCCCTGGAATGGTCCCCAGCCACGGGTTCAGTCCCAGATCTTACTTCTTTGACAACCCTCGAAGATATGACAGTGAGGATGACCTTGCCTGGAGCGTTGCCCCTCAGGGACTTCAGGGAAGGTAAGACCCTCGTTCGTGGTAGAAGGCACGGTTAGGAGGCTGAGGACTGCACCAGTAAAATCGATTCAGTCCAAGAGAAAACGCTTCCATAAAAACCCTGGAGTCGGAGGGAGTGCAAGGCACACAGGAAATGGAGAAGCCCCTGACGATGAGAGACAAGGTGCCACCAGAGTAGAGCCCCACGCCCGGGATTCTGCTTCCTTACCGGTGTGGCAGACAGGAGGGGTGGGAGCTCCCGGGGTTCCCTTCCCTCTCCTGTGATGCTTCAGCCACCCGCCATGGCCCAGTGATCATCACGTCCCCTCTTCCTGCCAGTGAATCTGGGCCCTCAGGGCCAGCAGGGGTGAGAGAAGCAACAAGGCCACCCTAGTGCTTACTGAGCCCCCCTCTGCTCCGTGCTTGTGCTCCCAGGACCTGGTGCGGGGCTGTGTTTCTTGGAAGTGAAAGCTTATTGTTGGTAATCCTTTGTGCATTTAAAGGCAACCATAACATTTTAGTATAAACTACCCCCCAATCCCGGATGGAATGATAAAAGAGAAGACAGCCTAGCTTTTTCGACTCCTTATTACCAACAGTAAATGTCCTTGGAAAACTTTAAAAGAGCTCGGAAAAAGAGCCCTTGTTTGGGGACAGGAGAAGGGAGGAGAAGCTGGGAGGATATACTGCTTTCTCAGAGCATGAGGGAGCAGGGCACCAGACAGAATAAAAGATGGTGCTTGGGGAAGAGAAAATGCAGCACTGCACAGACCACGCCAGCGGGTGCGGGGACACAGAAGTCTGGAAGCGAGCCAGTAAACACGGACTTCCCGGGGTCCAGAGTTGTTCGGGGCCTCACCCCTACCACTGCTCTCTTACCCCGTGGCCCCCGTGCACAGCCTTCCAGGGTCCGCAGAAGCAGCCCTAGCCCCTCACCTGCCAAAGGCAGCATGGAGCTGAGCGCCCTCACCCCCTAGGTGGAAGGAGACCCCTCTTCCACTACCTACAGGAGGAGAATAATAAAGTGTACATTCGTGAATGCTCACTGTGATTCAAGCTACTGTTCTAAGCACTTTATAGGTTTTAATTCACAGAAGCCCAGGCAGGTAGTCACTGATATTACTGACGATACGGATGATAAAGTGGATGCACAGAAGTTGTCCAGAGGTACCAGATACAATTTGTTGGCAAAATATTTTGTTACACGTAGTGATTGGCTTATGGTTCTAGTAATACTATGCTTCTGGGCTCTGCGGAGTTCAGGTTTGTTTTGTGTGTTTTGTAGAGCGAGCAAGCGCGAGTAGGGGGGGAGGAAAGGGACAGGGAGGGAGAATCTTAAGCAGGTTCGCATGCAGAGCCCAGCGCAAGCCTTTATCTCACGACCCTGAGCTCAGGACTTGAGCCCAAATCAAGGTCGGATGCTTAACCGACAGAGCCACCCAGGCGTCCCGAGTTCAGTAATCTTTGAGGGTGAACTTGTAGCCACTGCACGTGGGCTTCAAGAAGCCACTTTAAGGGGCACCTGGGTGGCTCAGTTGGTTAAGCGACTGCCTTCGGCTCGGGTCATGATCCCGGGGTCCTGGGATCAAGCCCCATGTCGGGCTCCCTTGCTCAGCGGGGAGTCTGCTTCTCTCTCTCCCTCTGCCCCTCCCCCTGCTTGTGCTCGCTTGTGCTCTCTCTCAAATAAATAAATAAAATCTTGAAAAGAAAAAAAAAAGCCACTTAAAAAAAAACTGGGATTGTCTACAGTTTATACAAAATCCCAGTTTTATCCATCTAAAATACACATGTCATCAATAGAAATTTTGGTGACTTGAGACATTATACTATCTTTTTCTTTTTAAGTTTTACTCCAGACTACTATGATTGGGGACAACAGACTAACAGTTTCCTGGCACCAGTGGGAACTTTCCAACCAGACTCCGTTTTGGATCCTGACAAACCAAGCCATGGGTAGCATCAGTCAACAACTCTATGGAAGATTCCTCAAGTGAAGAGCTTCAAAGAGACTAACTTAATGACAGCTGAATTTTTAAGGCACTTTTCCTTAAGAAATAGGACTTAATTATTTGTTACAGGTTTCTAATGGCTCCATAGGACTAAGCAATAATTTAGATTGAGAAAACCTTATTTTAGTACTAAAAAGTGAGCCTGGCTGCCCATTTCAGTGGGTATAATTTAAACGTTAAAAAGAATTCTGTACTTTTATAAAGATGTATTTTATATAACTTAATAATGCTAAAATATATACTAGGATTTTTTGAGAATGTTATTGCAATATGTTTGTAGTTTGCACGGACTTTTATGCATAATTCACTTTAAAAGTATACAGTACATGGTCTAACGGTTGTTTAAGGCTTTTGGACTTAAGTATTCTTCAGATCCTTACCTCTTCAGGTCGTGCAGATGCTGAGCTTCACACCTGGAAGACTCCAAATACAGTTGACATCTAGAAAGCCCGTTACAACTCCAGTGTTAAAAGTTATAATGTAGCAGAGAATCAGCAGACTACATACAAGGTAATTGGTTCCTTCCTTCGAGTTCTTTATGGTCCAGACAGTTGTTATCTCAAAGAATCTCATAAATGTCACCAAAAATGTGCTACTCTTTTCAGCAGGGCGCTAACGTATACACTTCAGTGATAAGCGGATATGTTAAAAACATGGATAGAGCTGACCTACCCTGCTAACCCTCCTCTGCTATATTCAGAAACTTTGCATAGTTTTTCAGTCCAGTGAAATCTAGCATCTGCTACCTCAGTACTTCCCAAGACGGCACCTTTCCCAAATCACAGACCATTCATTACATTCAAGGAACAGAGGAGAGGTTCTCAAAAGGGGATGAATAATAAATGCCCTTGACCCAGAGGACTGTGTGGAGTCCTCACACTTTTCCTGTCATTTCCCATCATATTTAAAATAATGCCTGGTGTTTCTAAATAGCTCTGAAGGCAGGCTATTGGAAGCGGCAGCTTTAAGTATCCGGGAGCACGATTCCTGTCCCTTAGCCATGTAAAGAGGCATGTTCCAGAAAACTGCTTCTCAGTTGTCTTCCGCTTCAGTGAAATCAGCTGGTTCTCCAGCCACGGTGTGATTCTGAAACCTCCCAGATCTATACAGGTGACACTGCCTACAATAGGAAACTCTGTCAGGGAGGTTAAATGCTCTGATTTTCTGTAAAACAGAAGGTACTGGAGGAAGGACTGTCACCATAGAGACAGTATCTGCTCCGCCTAGAGAATCTCACCTCTCGGGACGGGAGGAGGAGCAGCAGCAGATGAAGAGAAAGTTATGTTAATAAGTTCTGCCTTCATGACGAAACCCATTTCCAAAATGTCTCTTATTTCCCATTTTGGTCTTCAGAAAGGATTTCCCTCTGGGCATTGATTTCACAGAGATCAAGTCTACTTCTCTTGATGGTAATTAAAATTGCCATCTCAAGTTTTAAATGGCTTATGATTGGGTTTTTCATTTGTATGGAATGCCTTTATCCTACATAATCCCACATAACAAAACAGTGTTCTTGCCTTTCAGCATATGGAAGACTTGGGGTCACTATCAGGGAAAATTCTAGACTGAAGCAAAATTTGCACTGATTATTTGGGTTGCCTTAAAATGTTATGTAAGTTGTTGTTGTTCTACATAGCTTTAAGAACACCCTACTTGTCATGCTGTCTTTGTTACTAATTCTCCTGGGAGAATTTAAAGGCAGACCCAGCATACACTTAAATCATGCTTTCAGAAAGTACTTCAATTAGGTCATTCAAGGGTAGGTATATTTTTAAAAATACAGTAATAAAAAAATCACTAAAATCATCAATTATTATATTCATGCTGTATCAACACATTATCCTGTTATTACTGGCAGGAAAATTGAAATAACCAGCATTAAGTGATAAAAGCCATAATCTATTTTTATGGTAACGCTGCTACTATTTGAACTTTTTTTTTATTGGAAAGGATAAAAATGTTCTAAGAGCCTATTTTTCTCTTCTTCCCCTTTTAAAAAATATTGCTAAAGCACAAGTATTGTAAACACATCTAGAATATAAAAAATAGGATTGTATTAAACTATCTTTCTCTCAAAGTAAATGACCATGTATACCCTGGGAAACATTATGGGTAGGGTAGGTATGAAAAGGGAAATTAAAATTTAATTCCCTAATTGTGTTGTGCTGTTAGGGAGGTACACTAACAAAACTCCTCCTCCTGTGAAATATTAAAGGCTCAAAGGCGGCAAGGAATGGGGATTACCGGTTGTAAAATACCTAAATGTCTTTTTAAGGCAACCTGATGAAATTAAAACCCTGGTCATTTGAAAGTTAAAAATGTATGGGGAAGAGGCAGTGTCACTGAAAATTTTGTACTAAGTCTGATTCAACACTAAAAGGCTGCATGTGAGTGTTTCTGGGCACCTACTGGAAATAGGCATAAGAGGTGTCTCCTTCTGCAGGTAGTTGTCTAAACATGTCAACTGATTTGTGTAGGTATCTGGCACTGGCTTGTTCTTCTTTCTGCAATTAACCCACTTAACTGAGCCCCTGATTACAACATCCCGAGTATGTTACACACAGAGCTGTGGACTGTTAGGAGTTTTTTAACTCTTATACTCTACACATCAGTCATAGTTACACCAGTTCTTTCTTGGATGTATGGGGCGTGGTGTTAAAACTGTGCTGGTCACCATGTTCAGCGGCGTAGATCAGGCACACTGGCTCGTGCATCCCCAAATAGCCTTTTTCCCCAAAATCCAATAGAACTGCTCTTTGTTAATTCCTTGAACACTTAATTCCTATTAAGAGGAAAGGAATAAGCCTTAGTAAATCCCAGAGCATGAAAAGTGCTTAGAGAAAAAGGTTCTCATTTATATTTACATAGTAGATATTACTAGAATTTTTATTTTTTTTAGAATAATGCTTTCTTAATAAAAGTAAACTTACATTAGAATTAAATGGGTCTAAATATTTGAGGCTTTTTTAAGATTTCCAGCTGAAGAAACTTAAAAAAATATTCACATTAGAGTACTGTATGATAAAATCTAGACAAGTGTAAGTCTGATCAAAGACATATCTAACATGCCTTTCCATTTTTTGTCCCACGGGAGAATTTTATTTAAAAAAAGTCCTAACTGTGCATAATGCTTAATATTTAAGAGGTCCAGAGGAGCTGCTGGAGAGGATGGTCCAGAGGAGCTGCTGGAGAGGATCAGGCTAAAAAGTGGAATTCTCATCAAAAACTACAAAGTAATCAAAGTGAGGAAACATTTAAAAAGGAATGAAGGGAGTGGAGTTCAGTCAGTGTCTACTGAGTGCCTGTTACACGCTAGACACGGGGACACCTAGGTGTTTGCCAGTGTGTGGGTCCAGTCTGTAAACTCAGCCACATCCTTCTGTTAACCCTACTCTAGGCCCTTAGTAGGGATATGTGGAAAGCCCTTGCAGCAGTGGGTCAAAATACCCGGAAATATGCTGAAGGTGTCCCCGTGCCCCCAGCCTGCGTATCTGAGCGGCTTCCCCGTACCCATCATGCCACTCCCCGGGCCTGGGCGCTGAGGTGGGTTTCTTCAGTGTAGAGCTCTGCCCAGGTCATCAAGTAGGGGATCAAAGTCCTCAGATTCAAATCGAGTGACTCAGCAGCTCCTAACGGTGTCTGCCTGGTTCCTCCAAAGCTGGATTTTTCTCATCTATTCCCTGACCTGGGACTGAAACCCATCCTCTGCTTTCCCAGAAACTGCTTATACCTTGCCGAGATTAATTCCACTATAGCCTCCAAACTGGTCTTCCCTTTTGCAGTGTAGTTGCCCTACTACTTAGAACATTAGACTCTATCTCCAGAACGTATTTCCTGCCTCTGAACCTCAGTGTAGTCAGAACAGGAGATCACATGGCTCCCCCACCTAGATTTGTGACCGCTTTCTCTTTAGTCCATATGAGCCTCAAAATCCTTCCCTTTCTCTGAACCTCAATTTCCCATGAATCTTGCTAACCTACAACTGTCCCTCCGGTCCCTTTGCAGTCCCCAAGTCATGGTGCTCCTTGAAGGCATTAACTGGGATCTAAAAAGGCATGTTTAGGATAAACAAATGGGCTGCCGGGGCCATTCATTTTGTGTTGCTGAGGATCCTTGACTGTCCCCTTCCTGAATTCACTAGCCCAGAGCCTAGGATTTAGGTCTGTAGACTTAATACCTATCCCAGGGAAAACACTCATTTAGAGGTCTATTCTGTGAAGGAAATCCATAGGGAAAGTGAAATAATGTATCCAGGTGCTGCCTGAAGAATGCAGACTCTGACCCAGGGGTGTTAGCTGGAGGATTTTAACCTGTGACAACTTGATGGCACCATCAAGCAGACAGGGAGATTCGTTCACATTGAGAGCAGCATCCCCACCAGACAGGTTTCTAGGGTAGCTGCTCCTCTTCAGTTGGTACGTTCTTTCCCTCGGTGAATTCTCACTTCAAACTCGATACAGCCTAGTTAGGTTATAGAATCCTACGTTGCCTGATGGCAGGGATATGTGTGTTTTGTTCACTGCCATGTTCCCAGCATCCACAACAGTGAATGGTCAAATCCTGTTCTTGTGGTAGACAGTGGCTTTCTTTTGTAAAGGTAATCTCTTTCACTTGCACTTTCATCCACTGAGTGTGGATCTGACAAGTATACTCCCGTAAGGGCCCAGCCCTGTTTTCTCAGATATCCAACTTGTGGGTAGAGAATTCATAATGGAATAAAAAAGGAAATAAGGATTTTACATAAGGCTAGTCTCCAAGAATTATTTGAGAACTCAATCTTAAAACAGAAACACTGAGATATGAAATTCTGTCCACACAGGCACTAAATGCCTTGTGTCTCTCTGCCCTCCCGTGTTTGGGCACTGGCAATAGAATACTGAAAGAACAGGCAGTAAAAAGTAGATCTTTATCAGATCATGTTTAAAATTAAAAGAAGAGGGACACATTAAAGTGGTTAAAAGTACAACTCTTAAGAGAAAACCCCTGAACTGGGCAGAGTTCCAGCATGATACATATGTTAAAGAACTTTTTTTTAAGCGCATATGGCATAAACAAGCACAGTTAAAGAAAACTTTTTAAAAAGGGTGGGAGTTGGGGAGAAGAAGGGACCAACACACCAGATACTTAACCACAGATCCTGAGTAATTACAATAGCCGTAGTCCTGGTGTCTGAATAAACGGACCGAGGAAACAGAACGAGAACCCCGATACGGAGGAGCTAACTCCATGTGTGATGTCGGGTATAATAAACATAGCATCTCAAACCAGGGAGGATGAGACAAACTGTTCAGTCAGTGGTACTGGAACTGGGTGATCCTCTAGGAAGAAATTAGGCTGGATCCATAACTTACACCCTACACCAGGACACACTCCAAAGGGATCAAAACTTCGATCTAAAAAACCACGAAAGCTCTAAAAGGAACGGCAGGTGAATTATTGCCGTGCAAGGAAGGTGTTCAAACTATGACTCAAAGTCCGGAAACCACTGAGAAATTGAGAAATTAAAAAAAAAATTGCGGGCGCCTGGGTGGCTCAGATGGTTGAGCGTCTGCCTTCGGCTCAGGTCATGATCCCAGGGTCCTGGGATCGAGTCCCGCATCGGGCTCCCTGCTCCCTGGGAGCCTGCTTCTCCCTCTGCTTCTCTGTCTCTCATGAATAAATAAAGTTTTAAAAAAAAAAAATCGCATGGCAAAACCACCATAAGCCAAGTCAAAAGACAGACACCAAATTGAAAAAAATTTTACTACACGTGAGAAACTAAAACACGTTGATATGTAATTTTGTATCTACCGGAGTGGCAAACGTCAAACCCACATCTACGTAGGTAAGGTGGTGGGTAAGCAGGTACGGTCTTGTATGGGAACCAGGTAACTGCCTCTACGGAGGGAAATATTCTATCATGGTCTGTGAAATGGAATTTTGGGGAATTTATTCTACAAGTACACATTTATGTATGTGTGAAAAGACATATGCACAAGGGTCTGGAAACAATCCAAATGCCCATTAAGAGGGGATGGTTAAACAATTGTACATTCATATAATGGAATACTAAGCAGTTACTAAGAAAAAAGTTTTAATGAGTAAGCTATCTAGGGAGGTGGGAAGACTACCAAGAAAAATAAAGTGAATAAAAGCAAATGGTATGTATAGGATGCCACTCTTTGGGTAAAAATGAAACGAAAAATTAAGACTTTACATTTGTATTTGTTTGTATGTGCCCCCCAAAAAGTATGGATGGAAACATAAGCAACCACGAACAGAGGTTACGGGGGTGAGGGATGGGGGAGGATATGCCGTATGGACAGGTGGGCCGAGGACAGGAAGAAGCCATTCCACTGTATAGCCTTTCCTATTTTTTGGTCTTTGAACCATGTGAATGTATTACCTATTTGAAAAATAAAGTAGATTTAAGAAGCCTTATGACTCCGTACAAGTCAGAAGATGCTGAAAGCCCCCAAGTTTTAGTTGGAACAGTCATAAGCCAACTTCAGTAGTAACACAGATACATGACATGCTGAGCAAAGGATCTGGAGTCACACTTTCTGATTTTAAACTCTAGCCCCACAACCTAGAATCTGTGACTACAGAGAGTTAGCCACTCTTGTCCTCAGTTTTCTTATTTATAAAACAGGTTAGTGATTGTACCTGCCAACCAGTGCTGCCGGGAAGATTAAGGAATCCAGGGAGAGCCCGGGCTAGAGTGGCTGCCGACACTGGCCCACGTAAGAAACAAGCTCACACTCCTTACACATTTCCTCTGGTCGCCGCAAATTACAATCAGATCCTCAGCTCGTAAAGGGAAACATTTCAAAGGCAGGGGGAGGGGAACAAGAAAGAAAGACTGCAGAAACATTCATTTGACTCACAGTCGCTAGTCTGGTGGGCCCGACAACAAATTATCTGGGATGGCGTTCAAAATCAAAGCCGCACCTGTCGATACTAAACTAGAATGCCCGTCCACCTGTGCCTGCGTCTGCGTGTGTTTTGTTTTACCAAATAATTTCCATGATACCAAGTAACCCGTCTGTGTGTTTGGGTGAATAGCTATGGTGTCTGCAGGTACTTCCCTCTGCAAACTGCTGAGAGGTTTACTGTATACTGTTCCCAAGCTTCCAGTTGAAGGCAATGCTGATGAAGATCAAAACAGCTGTCCTTTCTTATTTACACCGGCACCTAGGTAAAGTTGGAGAATACGGCAGTGTTTCATGGACATACAGACTACAGGTATCGAGTAAATTCACAATGTTACAATTTTTGACTTAAACTTCAAAACTGGGAAAACTATTACTATTCTGTCTGATCCTCTATATAATCTAAGAATCAGCACAGGAGAAACATGCAAATTTTATCAATTTTAATATATAGTATTTCTAACTTACATAGATGCCACTTAAGGAAAAGAAACTCATGCCATTGAAGGAAGGAATTCTTTTCCTTTTCTTCATTTTCATTACTTCGTCAGCTGGTACAATCATTTCTGTCAGTTATATTATCAAGTGCTGGACTTTTAAATTAGGTGACGAGATAAAGACAAAATGAGAGAGGAATTACCAGCCAAGCGTTTCCACAAGGCAGGCGGTCCTCTAGTGTCCCTGTAGAACAAAGGGTCTGGGACTTGGAAAAACAGGTTATATCACAAAGATACAGTATAACCACGCTCACAAAACAAAGATTCCTACACCTATACAATCATTTAAGAAATACAGACACAAAAATGTAGGCTGCCCCCCAACAATCCAATTTGTGGTAAAACCAAGTTAATCAGATAAATTTCAGCTTAAGAATACTTCATTTGTTTATTTTCTTGGTGGTGCAAAAATTCATTACAACTTTGAAAAGAACTTTTTATACTAACCATTTAGTTTCCTAGAACTCACTCTAATACACAATTTTTCCTAAGCTTGAAACAAATCACAGTAAAGAAAAAAAAAATCACTGGAAATGACCAAGGATTTTTCTCCAGTAAACAGAATTTAAATAATAGCTTTTAACTGAGGGAACAGTGAAGTAACACTACCAAAAAGATTCTTAAACTTACAGTAATAATAGACAAAGTGCAAAACTTTCACATTTTCTTAAACTCTGAATGAATACTAAGAATAATTCTTACTAATTTATCAACAAGATTATTCACTTTTTAGACAAGTTTACCTTAAGGTCCCCCTCTCCTACCACACAATACTTACATCCCTAAAAATGAAAAGAAAAAGTGGAGAAGGCTCCAATCAAGCCGGCCTGTTTTATTTGACTTAACCAAAAAAAAAAAAAAAAAGTCACCACCATCAACAACAAAAAAACCCCTGGGTCTATAAAGGTTGAAACTGGGTAAGAAAATAATCTGAGACCTTACTCCTTTCAACCATATCCCTCCCAAGGGATGACCAAATATTTTTAAAAGAGGGGTGAGCCAACTAAATACAGTTTAAAATACACCACTAAATCATCGATGAACACATTTCAGACTCTGGCAGGTAAGGTACGGGTTTAAGAGCACTTACTTCATAAAAGACTGAAGAGTCGAAGGAGAAACTCTAGGCTTTGTACCCGCATTACTTCTACACAGATGCCTTCTTCCAAGTTAATCACATTCTATCTCTAACAGCTTTTAAAAGAATATTTTAAATATTGGAGGGTATTTAAATCCCAGCTTTAGAAAATGAGCTTAGGACATGAAGGTCATCTGTTGGTACAAGTCACACAAAGTACCATTTATATACAATGAACCAAAATGAAAAGAAAGGGAGAGGGGAAGCTTCACGAGGCTCAAATTCATCTATCTACCTGTTTAAATAACCTACCAAAGAAATTCAGGTTGAAAGAGGATTGCATAGATGGTACTCTAAAATAAAATCCTTCAAGAACACTTAATTTAAAAGAGTAAATTTTGTGTATATCATTTTAAAGTGGCATTATAAATCCATATAATCCCATTCAAATTTTATCAAAGTGAAACAAATATTTATGCAAATTTTTTTCCTCAAAGTAAACAAAAATTTTCTAAAATTGGAGTACAGACAAAGAAATGCAAAATCAAAAGAAACATACATAGTATAGGTTCTAAGTAAAGAATCCTCCGGAGCAGCCCACGACACACGGGCTATCTGGCTGGGCAGCTAGCTGAGGGGACAATAGGCATTCACCTTTACTGAAGCAGGGCCTTTAGACCAAACCAAAACACCAACAACAACAGCAACTAAAAATCTTAAATAAAAACCAGTGAAACTGAAGTTGAAGTCCTGGGGATTCTTCAGTCCCTTCCGTAACTATACACTGAAAGGGCCACTCATTACACTGCTTCCGGGTTACAGAAGGTGACATCAGGCAAGGCTAAGGACACGTTTGAAAAATCACTGATAAATTTTTATCACTGATCCTAGCCCGAAGCAACATTTGTTCTCTAGCTCTCCTTTCCACAACGGACCGCTAACAGTGTTTATTACAATGGTCATTTAAGTCCGACAACTGGAAATAAAGAATGACAGAGTAAGAAAAAACCAATTCTAAAACAGAATAGCAGACTATTTCAACAGATGGAAACATATGAAATTAAACACAGAATTAGTATAACTTACATGTTTTAAAAGTATATACTTCATTTATAAATATCTCTAATTGACAATCTATTAAGAATCATAAATATTCAAGTGAACATTTTAATTTTTTCTTTAAGAGTTCAGAATTCCTTCTTCAAGTCTTTGAAGGTTAGTCTCCTTCTGCTGAATGTCCAAGACTAACAGGCTTCACACAGTCCGATTATGTCTCTAATCAGACATACAAAAGCCTTTATTACCTACTGTGTTGTAATAAGACTTTAAAATTCTGTAACTCTCTTATACTTGTAGAAAGCCTATAGAAGAAAAGAACATATTAGTACAGTTCATATGTGCACATATTTCAAATTACTGATACCATTCTATGAGCCATAATTTGAAAGCAAAATCCAAAATAAAAATAAAAACAACACTGACCAATGAAACTTCCATTTTTAAATGAGTATGCTGTAATTATTAAAGACTGACAAAACGCACGGCTACAGCTCTTTACTCTTGGGTTAGCAGGGGCAAATGGAACCAGTTACTTATTACCAACAGATTCCAGATTAATGATGGGGACAGTGATATGAATAACTCAGTACAATAAAGAATCTCTAATCATTTACAACTGGTCTTATAAATTCGTTTTGCACATTCCTCTCCAAATGTCCACTCCTTCCTTATTCCCCAAACACACTACAGATGACCCTTGAACACCACGGGTTTGAACTGTGTGGGGCCACTTACACACGGATTTTTTTTTTCAATAAAGATGGTACTGTAAATTATTTTCTCATGATTTTCTTAATACTTTCTTTTCTCCAGCTCACTTTGTTGCATGAATATAGTATATAATATATATAACATATGAAATACATGCTAAATGACTGCTTATGTTGTTGGTAAGGCTTTTCCGATCAAGAGTAGGCTATTAGCAGTTAAGTTCCTGGGGAATCAAAAGTTATATGTGGAGTTTTGACTGCATGGGGGGTAATGTTAGCTCCACAGGTGTAGCGATTGTTTCTTTCATCTACTGCTGAATACCTGTGCCCTACATCTACCACTATTTACAGTGTTCAGTAAGTAATTATTGAATGAGCGAATGAATGCATGCATGGTTTTGGGCCCAGGCCCAGAAGTAAAACTCTGGAATGGGAATCATAAAAAAATAATTCTATAAGCTCAGTTATCCTTACATACAATTCAGGGTTGATATGATAAAAATCTAATGTTTTTCTTTCTATAACATAAGATGATGTAGTTGCAGTATTAAGCTTCTTTCTTTACTCTAAATACTTAATAAATAAGAACTTTTCTTGTATCGAGAGCTTAGTATGCCAGGCAATGTCCTGAGCATATCACACACATATTCTCAGTCATTGTAAAAAGTAATTCTACAAGGTAGATAAAATTAACCCTGATGTTCCAATTTGAGGAAAACAGAGAGTGAAATAAATCAAGTAATTTTTCAGGGCCACCCAGCTAACAGGTGGGTTCCAACCAGTTCATCCTATCTCATGACTATATAACCTCTCAAAAATCCATGCGCTCTAGAGTTTCAACATGTTCTTTTTTACTCTTGCAAGTTGTGGTGTTAGTAGAAAATGAATTCTTCGTCTAAATCCTCAGAATATTAAAGGATCGAAACTGTTTTTAATTAGAAAAAAACAATATGATTAAACAAATGTGTAAAATCATATGCTGTACCTTAAAGTACCTATTAAAAAAAAACCAAAACCCTCAAGTATATATGAAGATACGGTAAAGAGACCAAGGCCTAAAACTAAAGAGGAGAGAGCCGAGTCAGCAGCAGGCGGTGTGTGTTCAGAATGAAAAAGCGCGCTCAAAGTCTGGCTTAGGCAGGAAAGGGAGAGGATCAGAGAACTCAAAGGTGACACGAATTAACTACAGGTTAACATGTCACCCTTACTCGGAGACCACACACTGACCGGCACCACTGGGACCTGGGGAGCACAGTCTCCGGGGAGACGCGTGGCAGACCTCACAACTGACTACCCGACGGAGCTCTTCCTCCTCCCGGCGCCCGGGGCGGGGCAGGGCGCACAGCGCACCAGCACTGACCTACCGCTTCTCTCCTGGAGGGGCACTGTGGTACACGGTCACACCCAACAGGGAGAGCAATGCCCTGTCCACCTGTTTGCTGGAAAGGAAACCGTTTGATATGAAAGTTGAAACTATCAGAAAATGGCTGTTCCTGTAGGAAAGACACTTGCAGAGTATTCAAGGTAAAGAAGCCCCGTTTTCCAGGATTCAGTGGCCAGACCTATGGATAATGGTCATCGTGTGTGTCTGCCTACTAGCACCATGTGACAAACGATGCGGGGCTCGGTGCTCTGAGGTAAAACTGTATTCCACAGGCCGTCAGAGAAAACCAATTCACTTCAGAAAAACGAATGCACAAACTCGCCGAGGTGTAACACGGTAATTTTATGTGTTAATGCAGCCAGAGTCATTTACTCTTCAAACGAACTGATAATCAGGTAGAAGATAAAATGAAAAGATCCCATTAACAATTATTAAGAAAAACTATAACAAAAAAGAAAAACATTCTCTAAGGAAAAGTAAATGTACAGAATCCATATAAATTAAAAAACAGGGCTCAATTAAGATTAAAAGGAGAGTGGCCAAGTAAACTGTGTTATGTCCTTGTAACAGAGTATTGGCATATATTGAAAAGAGAGAGAGACAGTCAAGAAACAGACTCTCAACTACAGAGAACACACGGATGGTTCCCAGAGGGGAGGTGGGGGGGGATGGGGGAAACAGGTGGTGGGGATGAAGGCAGGCACTTGCCGTGATGAGCACTGGGTGTCGTACGGAACTGATGAATCACTATATTGTACAGCTGAATCTAATATTACACTGTATATTAACTACACTGGAATTAAAAAACTTAATAAAAAATAAAATAATGCTTATATATTTGGAAGTTGCTAAGAAAGTAAACCTTAAAGCTTATCACAAGAAAAAGAATTCTGTAACTGTGTGGTGATGATATTAACTAGTCTGGCTCAGAACCCAGTTCTCTTCACAGAATAGTAGAAGGAAATACCAGGCTCTAGATAGAGAACTGAAGCCGACAGGGTTGTCTTTATGGATGTTCTGAGACTCAGAAACATTTTGAGGAAGTTAACATCTGTTTTTTTTTTTCTCAATTTAATTTTATTTGGATTTAAAATGTATAAATTCTTGAAAATATTTTTCACTTAAATTACATTTAAATACTCTAAATTTAATTCAGTTTCTCCTGCTTTATCTTATTTACAGGCCTCATAAGTGGGTGAACTAAATTCTTCAGGAAGTACTAATTACTGATGGACACCATCAGTAATTGGACATCATGTCTAGCTTAGGCTTGAAATCCCAAACTACAGTCATCTGTAAATACATGGGAACAACAGGTATAATCTTCTACGATGGGGAAGGAACAATTTATTTTTCACTTAACTGCCCCCTTTTTAACTTAAAAATGCATGTTAAGAAAACCATAAGAAATAATCTCTGTATCACCTGGTTCCCACCCCCCCCCTTTTTTTTTTTAAAACAGTTCTTCCTTGACTTTGTATTTTCCAGGGCAGCACAGTTTTATTTTCTCTTATTTTCTAGGATTCTTCTCCTTTTGTTCTGTAATCCTCAGCTGGTACCACATGTATCTCTGTAGGCAAATTCAAATTCTGTTTGAAACCATCTGTGGCATAAACCAAAAGCAAACTATATAGGTCTGTGCAGGGGAAAAATGGGGTAAGAATGAATGGAGGGGAAAAGCCTCCTCTGCTTAGAAAATAAAAATCAGGGGCACCTGGGTGGCTCAGTGGGTTAAGCTTCCGACTCTTGGTTTTGGCTTAGGTCCTGATGATCTCAGGGTTGTGGGATCGAGCCCCGCGTTGGGCTGGATGGCATCTGCTTGAGATTCTCTCTCCCCCTCCTCATCTGCCCCTCCCCCTGCTCCTGCATGCACCTGCTCTCTCTCAAATACAGAAAATCTTTATTTAAAAAAAAAGACAAAAAACAAAAAACAGTGAGAAGGTTTAATCTCTTTCTTTCATCACCATCTCAACCAAGCTTTCTTTTCCTTACTCCTGCTATTGTACTTGACCAAGCTATAGCTGGCTGAATATTAGAATATTTTCCCCACAAAACTGAGGAGACAAACAGAAACATTGGCAATCTGACACTATTAATTTTCCTGTGACCTGCTGAGACCCTGGCTTGTGAGTAGGGATATGACAGTATATAATTCTTTCTCTTTGTCGACCAAATAAAGCAAAACAAACTACTTTAGCAGAGAAGACGACCTTTGAAGTTTGCTGAAACCAGCAAAACCCAGCAAGTCTTCACTGTGAAAAGTGTTCTTACCTTCCGAAAGCATTTAAAAGAGCAACTATTTCCTGTCGAGTGAGTTGGAAGCCTTTAGATGGGCTGTTCTCTGGAAGCTTTTGGATTTCTTTTTCAGAGAATAATATCTTCAGGGCAGTTCCTAGACCCTGAGTCTAGAGAAAATAGTGAAACACATAAAAATTAAATTAATGTAATAACAATTACTATAAAGGTTGAAAGGAATACGCAGTCACTGTGATGAGAGTCAAGAAATTCATATGAACTGAACTTTTCACCAAAATGTCAAACTGCAAAATACAGTTTCTACTTCCTCATACATTATGCATGATAAATTTAACTGTTAAGGAACCTAAATAGTTTAACATTTGTTGGACATAAATTACTAAAATGCCTTTTCTTAACCTAGAAAATATCACATGAGGATTACAATGTTCAATATGTAACCTTGAAAGCATTTCTGACAGCCCCTAGTAATTCAAAACTTAGAAATTATTAGTGATAACTACACTTAAAAATTTATCAATTATTAGAACAAGAGAAAAAGAAACATCTGATTTCAGTGTCGTCTCCATTAAAATAATTCTGTCTCCTGATTTTCTATCTTTGTAAAAAAAAAAAAGATAAAACATCAAATGATCCTTTTTACACTGAATATATAGAGAGAGAAATGGGCCTCCTTGGCAGAACTTTTCTTTTTTGTGACCATTTGAAATTCAAATTCAGTGATGGAAATTTGATAATTCTTTTTATTTATTTTTTATATGGATCTAGAAAATACTTAGACTATTTATAACCACCAACTTCAGAAATGAATCTCAGATTGTACCAACAGAAACAGATACAATAAAACCAAAATCATTAACACAGAATAGGAAAAACGTTCTTACACCTGTAACACAGATTTAACATATTCATCTTTTTCATCAATAAAGCAGAAAAATCATACCTCAGATCTTCTGTTGCAATGAACAATGAGGGTATAAAAACTTGCAACTTCCCAGTAGGAATATTTAAGGTAATAGTTTTAAAACAGAAGACAAAACACAAACCTGCAATTTCCCCCATAATCTGCATTTGTCACATCCAACACAGTCCATTATACGGGAGATATTCTTGAAATGTAAGCGGAATTCCTCCTAACATGCAGAAAATATTTTTATTCTCATTAGAGTCTTAAAAATTAAACTGCACTTGTATGAATTATACAAGAAATAAAAGTTCTGAAGCTTATTAATGAATGACTTGTGTTTTTCAACAGTGAAGAAGAAAAATAATTGGATTTGTACGGCATAACATGGCACCTAAAACAACTAGCCATGGAAATTCATAAAATTCATTCCACATATTAATTCAACACACTTTTTATTGAGGTGCTCCTCTATGCAAAGCACCAACATAGGCACTATGGGAAAAACAAAAGTAATGATGCATGGTTTTTACTTTTAAGGAACTTAACTGCTGCCTCCATTTGAAATCCGCATACAGCCAGTGGTAAATCTATCTATATTATGTTTGGTTTATTTTTCATGTATTGCTTGCGTGAGTCCAAATCAGAAAAAAAAAGTGGTCTTAGACCACTGATCAGTTTTCATCTTTCTCCTCAGCACCACACACTGGAACGGGCGCTCCACGAGCACCGACGATGACAGGGCTGTACGAAGGGCGCACTCTCACGGTCCCCTGCACTTCCCAGCCAGCCTCTCCAGGGATGGTTGCTAACTGCATCCTTGGACTGTGCTGCACCTGCTTCCTACACAGGGAGGATTCTTCTGCCTGTGAGCAACTGGGCATGGTTTCTAGGACTCGAAGGCCAGTCTCCTCTGAGGCTAACAGTAGTTAATAGACTTTCCTCATCTTTTTCATGTGGTAAACACAGAGAATAAATTTCATTTTATTGTACTGAGGTAAGCATTTTGTTGCATGAAGCTAGAGGCAAGCAGCCTGAAAACTCTGGCCACCAGAAGCCCTGCCCGGCTGCTTTCCAAAGGTTCCAAAGAAACAGTACCCTGGCTAAAAAGACAAAATAAGGAACACGAAAGTCCTTTGCTCCATTCTCATGTAATTCATGTTCTTGGGAGGAGATGGAAAAACGGACTTAAGTTCTCCTTTATACACCTTTGGAGAAGAGCAAACACAATTTCCATTAATTCACAGATGACAGCTAGTTCTTTTCTCACTCCTATCTTCTTTCTTCCTCCAGAAAAAGAACCACAGAGTTGTCCAAAAGTATAATACTTGTATAAATACTTTAAAAATAGGAAGCATTAATAAAAATAAATTAACGTTATGGTAAATACCACAATAGCAATATACTCCTAAAATAATCATAAAACAAAACAACCTTCCAAAACTAAAATACAGTCATGACTAAGTTACTTCACTTCAGAAGCACCAAGAGACTCTTACCAATGGAGAATCACTCAGTGCTCATTTATCAGTGAGCATCTAAAACATCTCAGGGCCAAATGTGTTTCAGAATTCCAAATTTCAGAAATATAGTACGTACATTATTTATTATGAAACACCCCACCGGAGTGTGTGGCAACACCTAGTAATCACATACATTAATGGTTCTGTAGCAAAATGTAAGAATATTCAAACAAAGCAGAATTTTTAAAAAGCACTATAAACACTCTTATATCAGTACAGGTCAGGTTTTGCTAACAAATTAATTTGCACCAAACATAAGAAAAATGTTTCAGCTTTTGGAGCTTTCTGGATTTCAGAATTGCACACAAAAGACGTGGAGCTGCACTAGAAGACTGCTTGCCAGTCAATTTCAAATATTTTTATGAACATTTTAAGGGTACAACGTATTCCTTAATATGCCGTAAGCAAATGAAAACAAAGAGCTCCCAACACGAAGTTTGAAAATGCTCCTAAAATACATTCTCCTCTGATATCACAGGGTAACAGGTCATTTTTGCCTTTTATGTTAGTCCATAAAGACAAAAGCATAACAGTTCCAGAAATTTGAACATCCCATAAAATATTCCATAAAATAAACTTTAGAAAAATACAGTATTTGTTGCCTTCAAAGCGCCAAAGTCATGATTTTTAAACTCAAAACAATACACACTGTGATTTTAAAGTAAGAAAACTTTCTCTCAAAATAACACCTTTTAAAAGACCTTTACAAAGGTGCCATATTCATCGGTCAGTTAACAACAGAGGCTTCCCTAGGAGTTGGCCAAACTAGAAAGGAAGAAAGGAATTGAAAAGTCTGGAGAAGGGGCTTTCTGTGCCGTTTATAGTAAAATCCAGTCAGACCAACTTCAACAAGATGGAGGACTGGGCAAGAAGAGTTTAGATGGACGGGATTAAAACACAGCCAGTCAACTGCTCCCCACCCTATCCCCCAATCAAGAACTTTTTACCTTTAATGACTTGGCCCCCTTTTTGTCACCTGCAAACATGGACTTCTCGTCAAAGTGCATGGGAAAGGACCTGATGAAATGACAACATTACAAGTTACAGACAAAAAGTTCACGTACTAGGTAGTAGAGCTCTGGCAGAATTTTTTATCCCCACAAATATTTACAATTTGTAATTTACTTGTATGTAAAGTTTAATAACACAGGAAGGTGGCAAATAGTTCACACGTAAACTACTCAAAGAGTAAAGTCACATGAAAATGGCTTTTTAATTTACCAGACTGTAATGTTTTAAAGAAATTACATGATAAAAATCATCTAAAAACTGAACCTAAAAGCAATTTATGTGAAAAATGTGCAACACCATTAAAAAGAGGTTTTAAATTTTAATGCATAATTTGAACACTTCTTAATCCAACTTTGGTTCATGCTCATTTTAATAACCAGTAAATTCAAATTTTGTAGACCAGCATTTTTTTAAGAGGTATATTCTAGAATGTAAAGCTAATGTTCCCTTAGGTATCCACTTTCACGTGAACACACAGCACCATCTGAATTTAAAAAGCAACTGGAAGAACACAAAATTGGTTAAAAAAAAAAAGGAAAAAAAATACTAAAATCGCATTAAACTTTGGGTCATCTGGGTGGCGCAGTCAGTTAAGTATCCAGCTCTCGGTTTCGGTTCAGGTCATGATCGCGGTTGTGGGATCGAGCCCCGCGTTGGGCTCTGCAATCTGCCCAGAGTATGCTTAAGACTCACTCTTTCTGTCTCTCCCGTCCCTTCCCCCCACTTGCTGTCTCTCTCTAAAATAAATAAATCTTTAAAATAAAATAGCATTAAACTTTGATACTACATAAAATTCAAAGTTCTGTTTGAAAACAGGGCCTATTCTCAAGTGTGACTGGGGCTGTTCTACTGACCATGTTCCTTCTCGGGTCTAATTCTCCCTCTTCCTAACTAACTTTTAGGAGTCAGTTTCTGTTGTATTTCAAGTACTATCTCATTCATATTCAGAGTGCAGAATTTCAGATCACTGATACTCAATTCTTACTTTGTATCTTGAAAGATATTCAGTAGAAGGGTTTTTGTGTTAGCATCTTCTTCTCCATTTCCAGTGTAAAGATCGACAATTGAGCGCTCAAAATATGGGGCCACCTTTGATAAAGCTCGAAGCTCAATTAAGTATAAAAAGTACAGATTCTTAAGCCTTCTTGGACCTTCTCCCTTAGTTTCCACAGGGTCAAAGCGGCGTTTAAATTCTTTCATATTAGGTCCCCAGCTAGGTTTACCCCAGGTTTCTAAAGAGAAAGAGAAATACATAATACAGCATTAAGAAATAGGATTTTTTTCTCTAGAGTATATTCCCCCCCCAACAATTTTTACACTAATAGAAGATTTCTACATAAAAATGTGATTACCTTCCAAAAGATAATTTGCACATAGATGTAAATTGATACTAGCATGAAGTCCGGATATAAGCTTATAGAAGACTCTCTTTTCCAGACACAAACCTATTCAGAAAAATATTGAAAAAGAAACCAGATCCATTTAGATAACGGAAATACTGACTCAAGAAGATTCAGTACACAGGCTTATTTTTAAAGGTAAGTTTCAAGGACATTAAAAATAAGGAATAATATTAAATGATTAGATCAAACTTCTCTCACTAAAAGATTCTGACTTCAGAATGGAGTTATTAATATGATAACTTAATGCAGAATGAGGCAGAAAATGTTGGACTCTGGAGATCTAAGCACTAAGGATGTACTTGGCAAGTTCCCACACTATCCAGAAGGCAACAGCACAGATTTTTTCAGGGGTTAGGCTAAACTAAAGCAAATATAATTCAAAGTCACTGCTTTGGCTTAACAATAGCTGTTTCTCCTTTTCCCTTCCCTAGAGATGTCCTTTCTTTGAACCTACTTGATTGTGGAGGAAGAAGAGACTGCATTCCATTTCTCTTCTTCCTCAGATTCTTTAGTGTGTCTTACTAATCCTCTGCCCTAGAATTCTCCAGTTCTACTTAACTGTATGGTCCACTTGTAAGGAGCCCAAACCTGGAAAACAGTCAACCAGAAATTTCAATCAATAAACAATGTATGTTGACTATTTACTATGTGAGCAGAATCATATCAGATGGAGTACAGGAATATGATGGAAAATTATTTTATGTAGTCTTAAGGGTTTTGCTCAAATGGAGGTCAAGATAATTCCACTATCCTATCCTACCCCTGCCTCAATTTTAAAAGATTTTCTCTTATTATAAGAGTAATATGCATTGTAAATGTACTTAATGCCACTAAGTTTAAGATGGTTAAGATGGTAAATTTTATGTTATATATATTTTACAATAAAAAAGAAAATTTAGAGAAGGTTATAATTTTTAAAATAAAGAAAAATGCATAAACCTAAGTTTTAAGAATCCACTAAATGCAAAGCAATTCGCTTTTTCCTTCCCTTACCATCCAACAGCATTTTTTGGTTTTTGTCATTTTTTTTTTTAATTACTCCTGGGGAAAATGGGTTTCTATAGTGGGAAGGAATAATAAATAACCTCATTTATAAGCTGAGGGATTTTTAAAATGTAGCTTCCTTTGCATTTTCCCCAAGATCTTTTAGATCTTCAATTTACTCTATGTTCTACCCTATATGGCTCTGAAGCAAGTAGCTTCTCATAGGAAAAAACAATTCTTTTGAGATCTCATTCTCTAATTCAGAATTCTTGCCAGAATATTCCCATTGTACAAATGGGCACCAAAAAGCAGAAATTAAGTTCTTTTTTGCGCAGCTTCTAGCTTCTTCTAAAAGTATATGAGGGTGCCTGGGTGGCTCAGTCGTTAAGCGTCTGCCTTCAGCTCAGGTCGTGATCCCAGGGTCCTGGGATCGAGTCCCACATCAGGCTCCTTGCTCAGCAGGGAGTCCGGTTCTCCTTCTCCCTCTGCCCCTGCTTGTGTCCCCTCTCTCGCTGTGTCTCTCTCTGTCGAATAAATAAATAAAATCTTTAAAAAATTAAAAAAATTGAAAAAATAAAAGTATATGAGCAATTTTGAATGTTCATGATAGCAAGGTATACAAACATCATGAACAAGTGTGATAAAATATTACTTCTCTTCTAGTAAAACTTTTAATCAAATCAGTTATCAAATAAAACGATCAGATCTGAAGTTCATCTTCTTTTCCTTCTAACCTAACTCTCTAAAGACCAGAGAAGGGAAAACAAAGCAAAGCTTGTGAAAATTCATATGCCTAAAAATAAGAACATAAACAAGGAGGCCATTCTCATTTGCAAAGCCCTCAAAGCTCCGTATTTGAAATGGGGATGGGTGATAAGTGAGGAGCGAGTAGAAATGCACTTCCATAAACTGAAAATTAGGTAACTTAAAGCAAAATGGTAAAAATAAAAGATGTGCCAATTGAGTGTACTAACAAGACACAACACAGTCAGCAGGAAAGTGCTGGACAGCTTTTCCCTGAATGACGCAGTCTCCGACCACTGGGGTCCCCGTGAAAATGTTAAGTAACACAGTAAGTAACAAAGGCTCCATAAAATAATTTTCCATCATATTCCTGCACTCCATCTGATGTGATTCTGCTCACATAGTAAATAGTCAACGTACAATGTTTATTGGTTGAAATTCCTGAATGACTGTTAAGTAACATCTGCAAAAGCTGATTTACAAAGGCAAAATTTACCAGCTTCTATTTCTTTTTTTTCCTGATTAATATTATTTTTATTATGTTAGTCACCATACATTAGTTTTTGATGTAATGTTCCATGATTCATTGTTTGCATATAACATACTCAGTGCTCATTGCAACATGTGCCCTCCTTAATACTCATCACCCGGCTACCCCATCCCCCACCCCCCCTCCCCTATGAAACCCTCAGATTGTTTCCTGGAGTCTGTAGTCTCTCATGGTTCATCTTCCCCTCTGATTTCCCCCCCTTCAGTTTTCCCTCCCTTCCCCTAATGTCCTCTGTGCTATTCCTTATGTTCTACATATGAGTGAAACCATATGATAATTGTCTTTCTCTGCTTGACTTATTTCACTTAGCATAATCCCCTCCAGTTCCAACCATGTCGATGCAAATGGTAGCTATTCATCCTTTCTGATGGCTAATATTCCATTGTATATATGGACCACATCTTTATCCATTCATCTGTTGAAGGGCCTCTTGGCTCCTTCCACAGTTTGGCTATTGTGGACATTGCTGCTATGAACATTGGGGTGCATGTGCCCTTCTTTTCACTACATCTGTATCTTTGGGGTAAATACCCAGTAGTCCAATTGTTGGGTCACAGGGTAGCTCTATTTTTTTAAACGTCTTGAGGAACCTCCACACTGTTTTCCAGAGTGGCTGTACCAAATTGCATTCTCACCAACAGTGTAAGAAGGTTCCCCTTTCTCCACAACCTCTCCAAACAACATTGTTGTTTCTTGCCTTGTCAATTTTTGCCATTCTGACTGGTGTAAGGTGATATCTCAGTGTGGTTTTGACTTGAATTTCCCTGATGGCTAATGATGTTGAACATTTTTTCATGTGTCTGTTAGCCATTTGTATGTCGTCCTTGGAGAAGTGTCTGTTCATGTCTTCTGCCCATTTTTTGACTTATTTGTTTTTTGGGTGTTCTTTATACTGCTTCTATTTCTAACAATACAGAGCAAATTCAACTATCCAATTTAGAGAGTGGGTCTCTTTCTTTTGGATTTCATTTCATTCAAATTCACATTCATCAAGTGACTTATAAGACACTGACTAATTTTTTCTCTCACAAAAGGGCTAGATTTATAATAACAGGATGTGACATTTGGACACTAGTGATTTTCAGAGGCATTTTTACAGGCATCATCTACACTCACGGTGTAGGTACGATGGTTGGCTATTGCCAGTCTCATGCCCAGATGAGGAAATTGAATCTCAGAAAAGCTGAGTCAGTTGCCTATAAAAATAGAAGTGTTCTCTGAAACCATGTATCAATATTCAGGGGCTTACATCAGTAGGATACTACAAAAGTGGTTAATACAGAATACCCTAGAATTCAATATTGCCCATACATTTCACTCCTAACCTCCACTAGCAATATTCAGAGTCTCTCACCACCTCTTTTAACCTACGTACTACTTTCCACAATTTGTATCTTTACAATACAGCTAATGAAACAAAGTTAAGAATCGTCTTCCACATAGGCCATTTATCAATATCATTCCTAGTAGTAGTGGTACATCAATAACGTTCACCTTAATAATGGCCAATATATGTACACACTTCATTAAAAACAAAGAGAAATCATGTTCACAAGATAACATCACCGATTAGCAGACATAAAATAGAATTAAGTACTTAGTTTTACTCTGTAGAGTTCCTATAAGGTTATGATCCCCTGTATCATTCAACTTGCTTATCTTTCATTAATACATTTTAACTTTTGCTTTCATAAATGAATGGCAATTTGGTAAATTTTCTAAAAGCATCATATATCCAGTTTTTAAACAAAGTTGTTAAAATCCTAGAATGTTTTAGCTTTCCATTGATAGCATTTGTATTTTCAACACTAGAAAATGTAAGAATGCAAAGTATCTCCTGGGATCTATATTGCTTTATCTTTTAATTAGACAAATTTAGGCTATATTAACATGTGTAAACATTGTTTACAATCTTCTGAAATCAAATTTACCTTCCCTCAATTTCATATATATATAAAAAGTACTTCCTTCCAAAAAGAAGGTCTCTACTTACAAAGTAGGTTTGCATAATGGTTACTAGAAAGCAGTCTGGATGAGTGGTATATACAGAATGAAAATAACACTGAGAAGCTAGTTATGAAAACCTGAGGCCAGTATCTGCCCTGTATATTTCCCTAATGCTGATTATTCTTGGCTGAGCAATAGCCTCCAAATTTTCAAACCATTGTATCCTAAAATACAATAACTTAAAATACGTCATTTTCTTTCAAACACTGTCACAATTAGTTGTCTAGGTAATGAATCCTGAATTTACAAAAATATATTAAATAAATCCATACATTTTTTACAAGAAACCAATAAATTTAAAATGCAGACATATAAGTTTACCTTCCAGCCACGTGTAGAATGATTCTCCTTTAAAAAAACACACAAACACACACAGACTTGGGTTAAAATATTTTAAACAGTCATTTACAAATTAGAATAAATTAAGTATATAAAATATTTCCTATGACAGACTAAGGAATATCTCTAGAAATGGCCACTGCTTTCTTGTGAAGTAGAAAAATCGGCATATGGTTCTAGAAAATAAAGCCCTAAAGTAATTTAAGCAACTTTTGGACAATTTTCTTATAAATGATATTTAAGCAAAAATTTTAAGAAAACATTTCAGTCAAAATATTATGTAAATCGTATTCATTAGAAGGTGAAAGAGCTTAAAAATTTTAAATTTGTTTTTGATAACCATAGAACTTAAAAATTCTAGAAAAAACAGTGAATTATAATACAAAAATCAAATCAGTAATTATTCCATTTTTTCCTGAGCAGTAAAGCTATGTATATTACCTCAATTATCTAAGACTACTAAATTTCAAGGGGTAACTTTAAAATTCCTTAATTTTCGAGATAATTTTTCAGAAAAGTCAATGACTATTATACAGAGGGACCTGACTTACCTATGTACTAATGCTAAAAGATCTATTTCTAGATCAGTACTGTTCTGAGTGGAACAAAAATGGCAGTCAATACAGATCAAAATAGTTAAAGAGAAGTAACTCACAAAATGCATTACTTTATTTAAGAAAAGCAAAGCATAAGAAAAACCCAACACATAGATGAGTGGAGCAAGGAGTCTAGGGGATAAATTAGATGGTGAGGAATTGCTTTGTTTCCTGAGAGTCTTCACACTTTGTAAAACTACACAAACATCTTCCCACAGACTAATTCATTCAACATACTCTTCCTAAGGGCCATTCATCATGAGCTCACTTGTTTACTCGAGAAACCCCAGATGCTATCAGGGAAAGTTGAGCTCCCAAGTCCTCAATAATCTGGCCTCTCATCTTTCTAACTTAAACCACTCCCACATAAAGTCTTCCCTACTGCTCAGAGGGTCTCCCCAAACATGCCTGATCCTTCCCTTTCCAACTCCATGGTCCATGCCATTTTCTCCTGATCGCACACAGGATCCGATTCTACTAGACTACATCTGTCCCATTACTCACGACTCATCTCAAATGGCACTTCCAGACCCCCCAGTGAGACAGGCTCTGTCCCACGTCTGAAGAGCTCGACCACCTCCTACTGCTTGTACTCGGTATGTGCAGCACCTCTTATTATGTACAGTGCTTATCATTCCTGCTGTATACTGTCAGCTCCTGCAGCGAAGGCGTCATGTTTTACACATATTTCTATCCTGCACAATGCCCATCACTGTGTCCCTGAACACAGATAAGTCAACATCCATTTGAAATAATTATTTTGACTGTTTTGGGGCAATTTATTATGACTGATATTCATCTGGTAACCTGGAATAACCAACTGTTGATAAATCACTATTCACCAGATTAAGTATTACAATAACTGAGATTGTAAGTTACAAAGTCAGTAAGAAAATAAAGTCACAACACCAATTATCCGGCAAAACTATCTTAACTTCTCTCCATTTCTTCAGAACATATTTTAGTAGATTATAATAACCAGATAATTGGGAAGTTGGAATGTAATCCTGGTTTCTATACTAAACATTCAAGTAAAAGGGAATTTATAGTTTTTTTAACCATACGGTAAATTTACATTATAAAACTCTTATTTTTTGTCACCATTCATTGGTAGCTATTTCTGAAAAAGTAGGATAAACATTTTCTTTTGAATTAAACAGAGGAAAAATCAAATTTTGATCATTAAAAACATTTCCTCTATACCCGAGGCATACCCAAACACAAGAATTTTACTCACCATCATCTTCTCCTGAAAAAGAAAACAGTAAACAGGATTTTAGAAACCGTCCTCCACAGTTCAGATTCCAATTTTATTTACTTTAATATGAGATTAAAACACTTACTGTGTGTTAAACTATTAATTACACTATGGACCTTGGTCAGGGTGTAGTCACCTTGCAAGACTTCTTAATAAGAATATAGGCCCAAAGTACAAGATCTTCGTATGTTTTATACAGTAAAAAATATCAGAAAGCATCTAAAAATACTCCTAAAGATCACTAGTTTCAATAATTAGCCAATGGACACAGGCACTCCTTTCATCATTATGTACACAACCCTCTCTTCCAAGCTGCTGCTCCTCGGCCTATACACACCTTAAGAAAAGTACTTCCCAAACCGTGGTCAGTGAAACCCTCACTGGGGGTGCCACGGAGCTGCCCAGACAGGGGGAAGCAGCCAGAGGTTGGGCTTTCGGGAGCACAGCAGCTCGGCCTTTATCAGCTTTGTATGTGGACTTCTCATACCGGGTTTCATTTTCGGGAAGAAAGGTTCTGTTGTTCAAAAGCTGTTGGAAAGCCAGCTGGAGAAGCCTCGCTGTGGGGCTCAGCAAGAACACGCAGGCGGCCGAGCCGGGACTGCTGAGGAGCTGCGAGCCGACACCAGCAGTTGCCGTGGGCACAGCACACAGAGAGCATCAGCCTGAGCCTGCCTGATTACTGCACGGGTTTCTCACCCGGCAACCGGGTCCCCTGCTCTCCCCTCACCTGGTGCTCCGTCTCCCTTCTTTCTTAGTCCGGTTTTCTTCCCCCTCTTTCTGCCTCTGTCTTTTCCTACGTGGCACTCTCCTTCCTCTCATCTTTCCAGCGGTCTCACGTCTCTAATTTGTCACAACATGGACGTGAGGTATTTCTTAGGATGTGATGGTTTCGTTAAATGAACTATATTTTCTGCTTTAATAGGAAACGATCATATTATTCAACCATAAAAAAGAAGGAAATTCTGCCACTGGCAACCACAAGGATGGAGTCCGAGGACCTCATGCTGAGGGAAGTCAGTCAGAGAAGGACAGATACTGTATGAGCTCGCTTGCATGTGGAATCTAAAAACAAAACAAAACCCTCCAAGCTCATAGATCCAGAGAACAGATGGGTGGTTGCCAGAGGCAGGGGGTGGGGAGTGGGCAAAACACGTAAAGAGTGTCAAAAGGTACCAGCTTATAAGTCCTGGGACTGTCATGTACAGCATGACAACTACAATTAATAACACTGTATTTGAAAGTTGTTAAGAGAATAGATCTTAAAAGTTCTCATCACAAGAATAAAAATTCTGTAATTATGGTCACAGATGTTAATTAGACTCACTGTGATCATTCTGCAATATACACAAATTTTTAAACATTGTATTAAACACCTGAAACTAATACAATGTTGTATGTCAATTATACATCTATTTAAAAAAATATTTTAACTCTAATCCTAAAAAAAAAAAAAAAAAGTGATCATAGAAAAGATCTGAAAGAATACCTACCAAACTCTGTACTATGGAAGAGAGGTGTGGAGGCAGGGTGGGTATGGGGGAAGGGTAGGGGGGAGCTTTCTCTTTTTACTTTATATAACTTTTGTGTTGTTTCCATTGTGTGTATGTGTGCGTGTGTGTGTGTGTGTGTGTCTGGGGTTTTCATTTTTATAGTAAGTTATAAGGGTAAAAATAGCAAAAGAGACAAAGAATAAGAAACCATGCACACCTTTTTCATGATCCAATTCCCTTTTCCAGCAGTATCAGAATAAATTTGGGGAAGAACATGTGCCGCATTGTAAGACAGTGAGCATCTAAAAGCAGTCCCTTCGGTCAACCTTTCTGTGTCTCTTTGGCTCTCAGAAATGCCTTCAAGATACAAATCTAGACCAGGAAATTGAAGTTCTTAAATCAACCCTGGTCTAAAGAAAACATCAGAATGGCAAGTCAATTACAGGGCTGCTCCCAGGGTTTGGCTCCTTGCTGACAACAGACTGAGGATGTACCCAGTAAGTTTTATGTTGATTAACCTGCAAAAATGCTGTCCCGTAGAAATATAATGCCAGCCACATATGTAATTCCAAATTTTTTCTAATAAAAATTTCTAGTGAAGTTTTTTCTAGTATCCGTGTTTTAAAAGTGAGAAGCACACATGCGTTCCAATGCGATAATTGTGTGAGGCCACAGCTAAAGGTGTCCTATCAAACAGTAAAGTTCTGCTTAATGACAAAATATTTTACATTGCTTCAGTTCTTAAATTTAAACAGCCAGATGTAAAAGTTGGTTCTGCACCAGCCGTATTTCATGTGATCAACAGCCCGGTGTGGCAAGTGGCGACCTAGTCGGCTGGCGCAGGTTTACCGTTGTGCTGCAGGCATCCTAAGTGTTTTCAACAGCTCTGCACCCTTAGCACTCAAACGTGGTGCGTGGACTAGCCAGCACGCTGGGTATCACCTGGGAGCTTGTTAGAATCCTGGGCTTCACCCAAGACCCACGGAATCGGACCCTGTATTTCAACAAGGCTCCGAGGTAGTTTGTATGCACACTCAACTCTGAGAAGCACGTTGGGAGCCACCGGTTCTCAAACATGCCTGTGTGCTGGAATCATCTGGACAGTTAAAAAAAAAAAACACCACCACTTGGGTGTAAGCCCACAGATTCTGACTTAATTAGTATGGGATGGGGCCTGGGCATCCAGATTTTTAAGAGTTTCCCAGGAAACCTCTTATATCTATGGATCACTCATATATTTTGATTTATTTCCCATAAAACTCCTGTTTTATTTAGGGCCTGGTACATATCAGGCACTCAATAAATGCCAGTAATTATGTAAAACATGCAGAAAACTTGAGGCTAAACTATGAACTAACCTTATACTTTTGATCACTCAAATTAAAGAAAATATAGTTGAAAATCTACTCAGATTAAGTTTAGTTACAGAGGCATTTTGTAAATAATCTCTAAAAGCATGAAAATGTATGAAAAACCCACCTCGGCTAGGTGCCAGAGGATTTAAAGGACGATAAACAGATCGAGGCCTGAAAAAGCAAGTGCAAAATTCAAACATAAAATGACTTGGCTTCTTTTACATCATTTTTTTTCCCAACAGAACCCTACTCCCCTTCCTCCATCCTCCCTCTAGCCACTCCTCCTCCTTCCCCTACCCCCTCCAGTTACTTGAAACAGTTTTCTTCGTAGATGCTGTTCCACACTCTCCATGCGGAGGACCCTTTATAGCCAGTGTAACGCTCCGGGTTCAGCAACAGGTCTACATACTGAGCAGCTGGAGATCGCTCATCTGAACAAGAAACAATTCATAAAAACCACCCACAGGTCACCAGTTGTCTGAAATGTAACATTGTAACACAAACGTAACTACCAAAAGGTCAGAGAAAGGCTATGCTTTTCAAGTAATCTCCAACTTAAACGGTAGAGAGGTTAGCACACTTGTGACTGTACTTGACCCAGGATAACTCACACTTGTGAGAGGAAAAAACAACTCCTCCCTTTCCTCTGGATACTCCGTGCTCTCTTAAGTAACAGAACACCCCTGCCCTTCTTAGAAGCATTCATCATTCTTAAGTTTTAACCACCCAGGATCGAAAAGACCTAAACAGATTCATAACCTGTTCTACTATTTGATAGGATTTCTTCCCTGTGCATACACCTACCCAAACACATGCTTAGAAACATTTCTTTTTAGCGTATATTGTACTAAAAAGAGATTTTCCTGCTATTCTCTACTTTAGACTTATGAAATAAATGGCTCAATAACTTCGTGATTCAAATTTGATCACAGAGTTACACAATGCTCTAGTTTAAACAAATACACATTACGTTTTATTTTTATCGCTGTTCATACGGAAGTGCTTTTCCCCTCTTAAGCCCATATACAGCAGGCACAACTTCAGGAACTTGTTAAGACATATAAATTAAATAACCATTTTCTTTTTTTAAGATTTTATTTATTTATTTGAGAGAGAGCGAGCGAGCACAAGCAGGGAGGGGTGAAGAGGGAGGGAGAGGGAGAAAGAATGTGAAGCAGACTCCCTGCTGAGCGCGGAACCCCATGCGGGGCTTAATCCCATGACCCTGAGATCACGACCTGAGCCGGAACCAAGAATCGGACGCTTAACCAATTAAGCCCCCCAGACACCCATAAATAACCATTTTCTGTGTTGAAATCCAAATGAGTCTTTACTAGGTCTCTACTATTTGGGCATTTTAATAGAGATCTCTGAGGGATACAAAAGATAAAATGGTCTTCATTATTAAGGCTTACATTCTGGATAGAAAAGGGAAATACATGCTTTCATACCTACAGAAAAATTATAATGATCATGCTTCACAAATGGATGATCATAATACACGGAAACTAAAGCACTATCTATGTTGACACAGATGTACTCCTTTATTTGTATGCTTCTTACCTTTTTGTGTCATGAGATTAAATCATAGTATGCAGGCACCTGACTGAAAACAGTGGCCAAATATGGTCATTAAAATATGGTCTTTTTTTTTCATTACTAATACATTTTCCTTTCAGCCAACAGTATTCATTGAGCATTCAGTGATCACAAACTGAGATTATCCATAACCGTAAGAGGACAATAGCATCCTGATCCATGCCTTCCAAGAACTACTTGGTACTTTTTGTAAAGAAGTAGGAAGAACACAAATATAACTTATCACTACTAAATGAATTATATCTAACTTATAGACAACAGAAACATGAATTGAAGAATAATGGCTCTATTTTTAGCCCTAACATTATATAGATACTCTACAAGTTAAGGCACAGAAAACAGGTAATTTACAGATGAACAGAAACTGTCCAAGGACATGGATTGATTTGAGACTTAAAAACGGTAATTTTAAAAAATTTTCATTAAAAAAGAAAGATTCAAATTATGGAGTGTGGCTTTTAAAGGTCAAACAGAAGTTTTATAATTCACTAGTTTCTTATATATTTTTAATTTTTTTGAGTTGTCCTTAAGCTCATTTGCAAAACTGATCTGATTACATACAAGCTCTACAAATATTAAACCTACCATAAACATACACGTTCATTGAGATATATATGTACACATGCATAAAGAATGTGTGGGTGCATGTAAGTTTACACATATGTGGGGTCATCTGCGAATGTACACATCAGACTGATACCAACCTCTTCACCCAACAAAAGCAACTGAACAACCAATAGAGAAAAACAAGATTTAGATATTAAGATACATCTTAAATCATTATACCTTAAGGGAGTGACAAATCACAAGAGTTAAATCACGTCTATCAATGTTTAATTTAAAACTTTTATTCTCAATGTCCTTAATGTGTATTCCCTTAATTTAATCAAAAGTGGGTTGTTGGTTTTTCTAAGTGGTTTCTAAAAATTTTAATACTTTTTCAAATCATGAAAAGGTGGGTCTTGTTAACTTATAGAAGGGGTTAGCAAACTATGACCCACAGGCCAAATCTGGTCTGCGTGTTTTTTGTAAAGAAAGTTTTATGGGAACATAAGCCACGTTCGTTTGCTGCTTTCACACAATTACGGCACAGTTGAGTAGTTGCAACAGAAACCGTGCAGTCCACGAAGCCGAAGATATTTACTATGTGTCCATATACAGAAGAAAATGCTCGTCAACCCCTGACCTAAACCAACAAGAACTTCATGGCATCTAGATGAGGAAGCCGGTACCCCCATCCTTCCCCTGGGACCACCTGTGACATGATTTTAATTAATTTGTTCAGAAACTACAGCTTCTTTCCATTTGCACAGCCATAGCATTCACTTGGATAACGCTCTTGGGACCCCTAATATGTCCTCCTCCCCAAATGCTTTCTCTTCTTCCTCCCTTTATAGAGCTCTTCCAAAACTGTTCTTTCTATTTGACCACGCTAACAGTTACCTAACGATTCAAAGACTGTCCACTGAATCAAATACCTAATTCTGGGAATTCATCAATTTCAACTAATGTTTTTTCTTCCTTTTCAAGTATACCTTTTTTCCCCAACTGAATTTCCTTTTCACTGTCTTAATTGAGTATTAGTGTTAGGAGGCTACACTACATGTTCTAGGGTAAGAGCCAGCCCTCCACACCTCCTAACCCAAGTATCTCTTCAAACATAGCATAGGCCAACTTAGTGTGCAGGCTTTTTGTTTGTGGACACAGGTAAAAAATACTGCTGTAGACTCAGGATTGAGCCTCTCACCCTCCATCACCAACTCTATCCCCGATTGCTAGCTAGTAATGCATTATTAAAATAGAATTTACTCTGGGCGCCTGGGTGGCTCAGCTGGTTAGGCGACTGCCTTCGGCTCAGGTCATGATCCCGGAGTGCTGGGGTCAAGTCCCGCATCGGGCTCCCCGCTCAGTGGGGAATCTGCTTCTCCCTCTGACCCTCCCCCCTCTCATGCTCTCTCACTCTCTAAATAAATAAAATCTTAAAAAAAAAAAAAATTTACTCAGGTGAGGAGAATCTATAGTTTATAAAGCTCCCAAGTCATTTTGATACACAGCCAGATTTAGAAACTATGGTTTTAAACAATATTTAAATTTATTAATGAACATATTTTAAGGGAAAATATAAAAGTAAAAATCTGTCATACTATATAGGTTATTTATGAACCAACCACTTCATTCAGCAAACATTTATTGAGCAAGTACCATGTCCAGGCACTGCTCTAGGCACTAGGGATAAAGTAGTGAACCAGAAAGACAAAGCCTCAGGTGGCTGACAACCTAGTTGGAGCAGACGGACAGCAAACAGATAAACTAACCTGCCCCGCACTCTCTGAGAGTCCTCAGTAGTCTGAGAGCAGGCAGCAGTGCCAACACAGAGTGAGAGTGCTTTCTATTTTCTACAAGCAGGTGACAGCAGGCTTCTCTGATGAGGTGACATTTGAGCAGAAACCCAAAGCAAAAGAAGCCATGCATAAAGATAACTGACTACGACAACAAAATAGGAGTAGGGAAAGCAGCTTACCTTAACCTGTTAAATTATTTAAAAATCTACTATTTGATCTATAAGGATCATCTTCCCTTAAAGACAGAACAACAACAAAATAGAGAACAGGGGTGTATAGATACATTCCAATAAACTGGGGTGAATATTCTTCAGATTGTTTTAATCCAATGGTTTTAGATAACTGAAATAACTAGACAATGACTCTAAAGCTACTCTGATGTGTTTTTACAAATTGTACATATAAATCATAGGGATATCCACGAACATCACTACCCAGAGGAATAGCGGTAATCCAGCTAGTAGAATGGTTTATATGTTTAAGGACTACACAAAATATAAAAATTACTAATTTTTTAAATTATGAAGTCCTAAAAATCTTAAGGGATGATTTTATATAAATTCTTATAGGACATCTCTTCCATTTTTACAATATAAGGAGCTAATGTTAAAAATTAGTTAACACTATACTGATGAGAGGTAACTGAGTACATCATTGATCATACCAAGTGATCTCTGCAATTGAGTAGCATTTTTTGGTAAATACCTATAATAGAAATATATATTTACATTGTTTACTATGAGAAATATTCACAGAAATGATTTTTTAATCTAAAAATCTGTTAACTAAGCACTACTAAAAATATTTTAATCAAAGAATAGGTAAAATGATAAGCTGGCAAGAAGTGAGTGTTGAACACGAAGTATAATTAGAATGACAACCAAAGAGCAAATGAAAAGAGTAAGCAGTGATGTCAATACTTAACCTAGGTACAACAGCTTGCTTTGATGAAACCTTTGCCAATTCTAAATATCATAAAGTAGTATCTTATTAATTTCCCATTATATCCAGATACACAAAGAAACTTTTTTTTAGATCTATTAAAGATATCCTTGCTGAGGTGGGGGATGGAGGGTGGCACCTGGGGGGCTCAGTCCGTTAAGCATCTGCCTTCGGCTCAGGTCATGATCCCAGGGTCCTGGGATCGAGTCCCGCATCGGGCTCCCTGCTCAGCCGGCGGGGCGGGGTGGAGGGGTCTGCTTCTCCCTCTCCCTCTGCTGCTCCCCCGGCTGTGCCCTCTCTGTCAACTAAACAAAATCTTAAAAAATCCCTGCCGGGGGTGCCTGGGTGGCTCAGTTGGTTGTCTGACTCTTGATTTCGGCTCAGGTCATGATTTCAGGGTGGTGAGATCAAGCCCCGAGTCAGGCTCCATGCTCAGCCCGAAGGCTGCTTGGAATTCTCTTTCCCTCTCCCTGTGCCCCTCCCTGCTGCTCACACTAGATAGATAGATCGATAGATAGATCGATAGATAGATCGATAGATAATGGTACATCTATAGTGTAGGGATATCCTACTTTAAAAAAACAAAAAAATGTCTTGCTGAAACCATATAAACCATGGTGATAACATTCCACCTCCTGGCAACTTCTCGACTGACTGTACTATTGTGGCAGCTCCCTGTAACTTACTCCACTGTAGACTGGATGAATAGCACGATTCTACAGATGGATCTTCTAAAGCCCTTTAGATAGCTTTGCCACCACTCGAGGTGCTTTCAAAGTTCAGAGGAACTCTTGCTGTCTCCAGCTATGCATGCCTGAACCCCAAATTCTTTTCCACCACCCATGATATAAAGGTAAAAAGTGAAGAGAGGCCAAATGAATGATTTAAGCCTACTTGGCACAATTCCTGGGAATATTCTCCTTAGATCAAAAATTTTGAGTCCCTTCAATTACCTTCTGAAGTAAGAGTCATGGGAGTTACTGTTAAACAGTAACCCTCTCTTTGTACTGTTCCAGGGGACTCTTGGAAAGAAGGTTGTAGGGAAGTCAAATTAGAGTCCTCCCCAATATTGCAAGGTGTCTCTATGTTAGTTTGTTGGGACCTCCAGAAAATTCCAGTGTGAACATGTTTATATGTTCACAGACCTAAACTAAGTGGCTTGAAATAGAGGTCCCTAGGAGATGGTATGTCATGATGGAAAAAATATAGGTATGGGATCCAGTCAGATCTGGGATTGAATCCTGTCTCAGCCTCTTGTTACTGTGTGATTCTGGGCAAGTTAGTCTTTCTGAGACTCAGTTTCCCTGGATATGAAATAATACATACTTATTAAGGTAACTGTAAAGATTAGAAATAACGTACTTAAGGCACTCAGCACAGAGCTTAGAATCCTGTCTCAGCCTCTTGTTACTGTGTGATTCTGGGCAAGTTAGTCTTTCTGAGACTCAGTTTCCCTGGATATGAAATAATACATACTTATTAAGGTAACTGTAAAGATTAGAAATAACGTACTTAAGGCACTCAGCACAGAGCTTAGAACATAAGCTCTCAATAAATGCCATTATGAATAGTAAGATCCACACAGCAACATTCAGTGTATTCAAGTTAAAACTGATCATATTTTCATGGATTTCAATTTCTCATAAAAGGATTAAGATTAATTGAGGCGCCTGGGTGGCTCAGTTGGTTAAGCAGCTGCCTTGGGCTCAGGTCATGATCCCAGGGATCCCTGCTCAGCGGGGAGCCTGCTTCTCTCCCTCTGCCTACTTGTGTGCTCTATCTCTCTGTCACATAAATAAATAAAATCTTTTAAAAAAAGAGGATTAAGGTTAAAATAACTTCATTACAATAGTTTATTTTATTACCATCAAGTTCACAGAAGTGATCCTGTGAATCATCATATCTTGCCCAGTCAATGAAAGCTTCTTTGCTTTGATTACTAGGGGAAAGAGGGAATAAAAAAGAAAAATGATTAAATCTGGAGTTGAAAATGTTTACACTGCATCTTATATAATTAAAAACAGATAATCTGAGGTCATGTCTTTAATTTAGATAGTTTATAAATTCAATTAGTGGTTACATGAAGGAATGATAACAAGTTATATGAAAAATATAGATATTAACTTCCATGAAGGATTTCTATTTAACTATACTAAAACCATTATTAGCCCTAGAGTTCAATAATTAACTAGAAAATTCATTTACAAATATATGAGATGTAGTTAAACACAAAAGTCAACCTAGCCTTTTCAATTGACTTAGAAATAGAAGTAATCATTTTTTCTAAAATAAGAATTAAATTTACATTCATAATTCCTTTAACTTAAACTGCTTCTGTATTTATAGAACAAAAATACCAAAAACTGCATTTCTAGGATCTCCCTTCCTACGTGTTATTCACTGGTAACACCAATGTCACTTTAATCATGGCATATCATTCATTTTCTATACTACCTCACATTTAATAAAATCTATGATCAAGATTGCTGCTTGGAGAACTGATAGAGGAACTATAGTAATTCAAATAAACTTTGACCTATATTCACATTAACCTATATTCAGGTATACATGTATATATGTAATGGCAACATCTATAAGAGAACTGTTCTTCTTCATTTACCACACAATAGGAAAAAATAAGGTAAAAAAATTATTTGTGTACCAAGTACAAATGACATAGTTCCTAAATATGTTACTATCATAGCCAAGAATATATAAGGCTGGCTGCACTCCATCAACTTTATCAATAAATGTTTCCAATTTAATTCTTGGTGGGATTTTTTTTTTTCTCCTATGGGAATACTTAATTAACTTAATACAAGTTAATGGAAATACTTGTATCGTAGTTGACTCAGCTGGAATACAGGATGCAATAAAACACGAATGCCTAAGTTCTAGTTACAGCTAAGATGATTGATAGCCATAGTTATGTTTAATTAGCTAAGTCTTCTGTTTGAAAATAGTCAAGGACAAAGCAATTGTGACATAAATTCCTACTTTCTTGTTAACAATATGACTTAGAGGAACTTTTATCTTTTGAGCATCCTTATGTGATGATGCTTTCCTGATTGTTTCAACCTAAACCCTGCCTAAAAGCCATGGCAGCAGAAAAGATAGGGAAGGCTAATCTAATGCTAACACAGCTCGCCCAGTCTGGCTTACAAATGAGTTAGAAGGAACATAGTCCAGCTTTTCTAAAAGTCAGTTTGAAGATGAATGCCAAACTACTTATGTAACAATTTCCTGGGCCTCACCCAGCGCTTCCTGTCAAGATGGCGCTGAGTTAAAGTAGTAGCCTTAGAAGTGGGAAATGCAGGGGCAGGAAGGAATGGGGTAGAGTGATTTCCAAAGGGCATGAGAAAACTTTTCAGGGTGGTAAAAAGGATATCTATCTTGATTAAGCTGATTTTCATGAGTGTACACTTGTCAAAACGCCAAATGGCATATTTAAACAGGTACAGTATACTGCAGTTCAATTAAATTTCAATAAAGCTGTTTAAAAATTATAGTACCAATTGTTGGAGAAGTTGTGGAATGAGGTCTACGGCCATACCACCCTGAACGCGCCCGATCTCGTTTGATCTCAGAAGCTAAGCAGGGTTGGGCCTGGTTAGTACTTGGATGGGAGAAGTTGTGGAATGAGGAACTCTTGTACACTACTAGTGGCAATGTATTTTAGGAGTCATTTTGGGAAAACCACTTGGCAGTATTACTTAATTCCACTTCTAGGTATACTCTACACAGAAATGCATACCAAATGCACCACCAAATGTCCACCACAGTATTTTTTGAAATGGCTGCAAAGTGGAAAACTCCAACTATCAGTGATAGGATGGAAACATTTTGGTGCAGTCTTAACTATGGAAACCAATGAAAAAAGAATTAAATGCTACTACGAAGTTCAAGAACATGAAGGACTCTCATGACATGATGTTTAATAAAATAAGCCAGACACAAAAAAAATACATTCCATATTATTTCATTTATATAAATAGGCAAAATTAATCTCTGCTACTGTAATTCAAAATCATGGTTAACTGTGAACGGTGGTAATGACCAGGAAAGTACACACAGCCATCTTTGGGGCAGCAAGTACTGTTCTGAATGGTTGCTGCAGAGTTGGGTTCACTCTGTAAAATTAAACTGACCTTTATGCTTAAGATTTGTATACTTTATTATACCTGTGTTATACTTGAATTTAAAAGCTGAAAAAATAACTTCTGTTCAACAAAATATTTATAAGCAAAATTAAAAGATAAGCCCTAACAACCCATATAGCCAACAAAGAATTATTATCAGATTATATGAAGAATGCCTACAAATGAATAATAATTTAAAAGTATAGACTGTCTCACCTCCACACCCCACCCTACCCCCCATGGAGAAACAGCAGCAAAGAATATAAACAGGCACTTTACCTTAAAATCCTACAATGACTTAAGGCCCAATCCCTGGATGACTTCTCTAGTTATATTCTTTCCTGGGTAATCCCATTCAGGTTTATGGTTTTTAAACACCATATATTCACACATGACTCCCACATTTTCTCTCTCCCCTGAAATTGAGACTTGTGGATCCAACTACCTGCTCGACATCTCCAATCGGATGTCTTACAGGCAGCTCAAATGTAGCAAGTCCAAGGTTGAACTATAATTTTCTATCAAACTTGTTCCTCCTGCAAATATCCCCAGTTCAGTAAATGGCAACTCCCATTTTTCTAGTTCCAAATCTTGTAGTCATTTATAGTTCCTATCTTTTTTCATACCCCACATCAAATCCTCCAGCAAATCCTGTCAGCTCTGTCTTCAAAATCTATCCAGAATCTGACCCCTTCTCATCATTTCTACTGCTATCACCCTAAACTAAACCACCATCCTGTCTTAAGTGGATTACTACCATAACCACTTAACAAGGCTTCCACAACATAACACCTGGCTCCCTCAAAGCATTCTCTCAAAATCCTCCAATGACTTTTCAGTCCACTCAGTTTAAAAGCAGTATTCCTAATTGTTTTCAAAATCTCCACCCCACCCTACCCCTGCCCCCATCCCTAGCATCTTCTGACTCGGTCTTCTACTACTTTGTCCTGGACCACTGTACTCCAGCCACACTGGTCTTTTTGTGATTCCTCAAATATAGACAAACTCCTGCCACAGGTCCTTTTTACTAACAATTATGCATGCCTGGATACTCCTTCCCCAGGCAGCCATATTATGACTTATGACTTACACCTTCATGGGCATTTTGTGCAAATGTCCCATTATCGCTGTGGCTTTCTCTCACCATCCAATTTACAACACTGCAACTTCCCTGCCCCGACCCCCACCACTCCGAGCCCTCTGTCATTCTTCTCTGCTTTACTTCTCCCGGGCACTCATCATCACTTTACTTACTTCTTATATATTTTACTTATTAACTGCGTATCTCCAAAGAGGATTATGCTACATGAGAAAAAGAATTTGTCAGGTACACCACTATATGCTTAATACTCTAGAACAGTGCTTGACATATTGTAGGCATTCATTCATTCATAAGAAACACAAATATTCAATAAACAGATAAAATAATGCTCAAACTCATTAGTAATCAACAAAATATAAATTAAACAAAAATGAGATGCTATTCCATGTGCAAACATTATCAATTTTCGGCAAGGATGCGGAGAACCAAACAAGTTCTCAGCACTGGAGGCAGTACACAGCCACACAGTGCTTTGGAAAGTCATCAGGCAGTATCGAGACTAGGTACACGTGGGCAATCCTAAGATTCAGCAATTTTACTAGTGCATGCCAAATTTCCTAGTGTACACCAAAAAAATTATCAAGGGTGCTCAAGGTAGCATAATTTGTAGAAGTAAAAAATCTGAATAATTCAAATGTCTATCAGTAGGGGAACAGATAAGTAAAATAGGAGATAGTCCTATGATAAAAACCATTCACCAGTTGAAAGAATGAGACAAATCTCCATGTTTTAACATGGACAGATCTAGAAAGCAAAATGTACAGTGTAAAAATAAATCTGAAGAATGTTAAATACAGTATTATTTTATATAAGGGAAAAATAAAATCATATATAAAATAACCATCATCATATATAATAAAAACAAAAGCATAGATGGATATACAGCAAATTCATGATAGTAGTTACCGCTCAGAAAGAAGGAAAGAAAATAGGATTGGGAATTAGGACGTAGCGGATTTCAAATTTATCTTTGATATTTCTCTTTTCTTAAAAACACGGTAGAAAAAGTATCTATTCACTTGGAGTGAATTTATTATATTATCTTATTATATTATCTTCTCTAGTTTTCTATGTTAAAATTTTTCTTCAATACATAAGACTGATAACTTTATCAAGTCTTTAACAATTATAGTACCCAAATGCCAACCTAAACACATAGGGAAATTAAAAAGAATATCAGTAATAATCCATTCCCTACACCCAATTATAGATATGTTCAGTCATTTCATGGTGCATGATCTGAGACCACTCACAAATTATGTTGGCCTTCAAAAGGAGGTTTTTACTTAGAGGAAATAAGGAAAAGTCATTAGGAAAAAAAACAACAAGAAACAATAGTTATGGTAATCATAACTTTTCCTGTTCAAAATGTAATACACAGATTGAATTACTGTTTACAAAAGGCTTAGAGGTTCAAGTTCCTTTTACTATAATAACCAGGAAGAATGTGATCCATAAGCCCTGCTACCTGGGCAATCTTCTATATTTTTACATTTTGATAAAGTCACTATTGATGATACATTCTAGAAATTTAAGAACAAATCCACTAAGAGGAGGAAGCAAAGCAATCATGCAATTTAGGATGAAGAATAACTTCTTCCTTTTAAGAATGACTTGAAACTTTACTGTTTTATCAAATATCACAAGAAAAATGGAAGATTTCTGATATAAATATACTAAATAAGACAATATTTTTTATACTACTAAAATAAAACTTGCCTTAGTGTGCTGTTAATTGCTCCCAGTTTATTAGCTTGCTCACAATCTTCTAATTCTTTGGTATTGTTTGCTATTTTCGAGTACTGAAAGGAAGTACATAGTAAGTTTAGTAATAACTATTACCTTTCTCTTTATTTCAGTTCCACTGGCAATCTGTCAACGATGACACAGATACATCCCATTATCAATATCTCTCACATATGTAGTCACAAATTCCCACCAACTAAATAAGACATTAAAAACAATTAGCATTGGTATGTTGGTGATGATGTAAATTGAGAAAACCCTCTTGGGAAAGCAATTTGACAATATTTATCTAGAGCTATAAAAATGCATAAACCCTTGAACCAACAGTCTTACAACTGAAACCATATCCTGAGCAACACTTAAAAACAAAACCACAGGGCGCCTGGGTGGCTCAGTCGGTTAAGCGTCTGCCTTCGGTTCAGGTCATTATCCCAGGGTCCTGGGATCAAGCCCCACATCGGGCTCCTGGCTCGGCGGGGAGCCTGCTTCTCCCTCTGCCTCTGCCTCTCCCCCTGCTCATGCTCTCTCTCTCTATTTCTGTGTCTCAAATGAATAAATAAAATCTTAAACAAAAAAACAAAACCACAAACGAAGTACAACCACTTTAGAAAGGTATTTGGTACTATCTCATCATGTTGAGATATGAGATAGGCATAACCAAGGGCCCAGCAACCTTACTTCTAAATATCGATTTAGGAAAACTCTTACATGTGTACACAATAAGACAAAGGATGAAAATGCTGGTACATCACTATTTGTAATAGCAAAAAACTCAAAACAATTGAAATGTCCATCAACAGAGGAAAAGCTAACCAATGATATACAACTGAATACTACACAACTATTAAAATTAACAAAGCTACATATATCAACAGAGACAAAATTTCAAAAGCATAATGCAGAGTAAAAAATAACTGAAAAAAATATTTTTAAAATAAAAAATATAATCTTAATGTTTTAAAACTACGTATTAAAAGATCTATACCTTACTTGTGGGTACACGTGCAATGGAAGTGGAAAAGTAAGTAGTATTGCAAAAGGACACATGTCCATTTCAAAAAAGCGGCTATCTCTGGGGAGGGAGGGAACAGAATGGGTTTGGGAAGGAGTCCAGAAGGGATGTCAAATGTCTCTAACACTTTATTTATTTTATATCTGAAACAAAAATAAAGGAGAGTAAACACAAACAAAAAGACCACACAGGGGAGAAAACACAAAAAGAAAATGGAGAGAGGAAGCAGAGGGAGAGGGTATGATGACCTCTATTCTGTGTACATGACAGTGAGAAACTAGACGTGAACGGTTATCTAAAAACATGCACAGCTAAGTAAATTATGACATGCTTATAAGAAGAAAAGGGTACTCTTTAACACAGCAATATTTCAATGCCATTTAAAAGTACTATGCTCCAAATACCTTGATAACTGTTTGGTCTATAAAATATAATCCTGAATAGGACAGGGTGATTAATTGGAACACAAGACTAAAAATACATGCACGATATAGCACCTGTTGCACAGGCCATCTGATACTGTGGTTATACTATACTTCTATAGTTCTTCTAAAGAAAACAGAATTGAAATATCTCAAAAGAAGATATATAATTTAACTATAAAAACATACAAGCTCTCTGCTTGCTGCAAGAATTAGAAAGTTGGGACTGTGGGGCAAAATGTGCCCACTCCCAACTAGCCCCAGTTACAGTTCTCTTCTGCAAGCACTGTCAAGCAGTAAATGGTAAGTTTCACAATGTAAAGCAAAAATATTCAAGGAAGAAAAGTGACTCACCTTATTAGAACTCCCAGCTTTAATTCCGACTGGAATTTTGCTCTTAAAAGAATAGCAACAAGAAAAATTCAGGAAGTTATCTTTTTTTTTTTTTTTTGAGATTTGTTCACAAATTAGTAATGCCATTGCTCAAATACAAAACCTATCTTAGTCTATGATGAAAAAATGAACACTCATTCAACTTGTTTTCATACTACCTCTTTTAAGATAAACGGTAAAGAATTGCACCAATTTACGGACTTGTAAATCATAGTTTAGCAAACTGAATGACATATACAAAGTAAGAGTGTCAAAATCAGCTATAATTTGAACTCATGCAGTATGGAATAGTTTACATAATTTTTAGGTTAAAAAAAAACCTGACAAAAATCACTTTTCCATAAACTTTCTTACCACAGAAACAGAAGCTTTAAAAATTTTCAAAGTTCTTTGAAAAATTTTATGCTCAATCTTAATTTCAGCTCTAAATTGACATTTAAAGTGAAGGCAGTTTCGGATTAATACCAAAAGAATTAGTTCTTTGGTCCATAGGATTCACCTAGGGTTTACCAATCTAAGTAATCAGGGTTTACTAATAGAAAATCCACATGTAGATCCAGCTTTCTTTTCTACAAAGCCAATAATTAGTTTTAGGCTTTAATATACAAATCTAGAAATCATAACCGGTTTATCAGACACAATTTTAAACAAAAAATCAAATCTGAAAGCAGAAAATCACAGGTTGGTCGTCTGATCAATCTAGGGGACCAATTTCCAACATGTGAATCTACGGTGTAGCAAATTACCTGTTCTTTTCATGTTTCATGATAAATTTTAACATAGGTAAATTTAACCAAATATTCAGAATAAATATCTTCCTGTCAGAATAATGGAATAAATAATAATAAGAGATATTTCCCTAATCAATAAAAAGATTAATAGATTAAAATGTTACTTGCTGTCAGTATTTTATTATTTCGGTGTTTGCTAGTACATCTAAGAGAAGGCAGAAAAGACTATAAAACTCAAGTCAAATCTAGCAGGCAGCCACGCACCCTGAATTTAAAACATGGAATAAATACTAACCAAAAGTGACTTCTGGCTGCAGTGTGTCCTCTGACTAGTACAGTATAATGTGCTAAAATCAAAATCTTTAGCAGCTTTTTTAAAGGTTTGATGCTACTAAATGCAGTAACTTGACTTCCGCAAATCTTAACAACAAGCCTTCCAGAAATACTAGGGTAGGCATCACAGATGATTGTCATGAACAACAGATAACAATCACAAAAGAGAATTATTAGAAGTAATGATAAATGTAAAACTAATAACTAAAATCAAGCATGAAACAAACCTAGCTGGGACCGAGGCTGGGAAGATGGCAGGGTAGGAGGACCCTAGCTCTCCTCATCCCATGGATACAACTAGATAACAGAAACATCAGCACAAATAATCCAGAAAACAACCCAAAGTCTGGCAGAACAAACTCTACAACTAAAGGCAAAGAAGAGGGCACATCGAATTGGGCAGGAAGGGTAGAGATGCAGCGGGGAACCAGACAGGCCTTGGCTGTCCACAGTCAAGAGCTGGAGGCACGGAGAGGGTGAGAAACAGACTATCACACGTGCACGGGGAAGACCAATCCCCATAACTGTTGACTTTGAATGCCAGAGGGTCCAAATTTCATGAGTTCCTACAACCAGCGGGACTTGAAGCCTGGAATCTGAAAAATCAGCGGCTCCACTCTGGGAAGAGTCTGAAAGGCATTAGGAAGTAGAGTTCCTGCCCTTAAAAAAGAGAGCATGCGAACAGCCCAGGTAGCTACAGCACAGAAGCAGCAATTTGAAAAACGCCTAGGGCATATGGGAGGGAGATTTACTTACTAATCTCAGAGCATGTCCAGAGAGGCAGGGATCACGGGGAGAGACCCTTCCAGGAACAAAGGAGGCAGGCACCATTTCCCTCACCCCCTACCCCTAACCCAGCATAACACATAGGCATCTGCAGGAACCAGCACTATGCAACACCCCCTACCTAAATTGCTTACACTGAGCCCTACCCACCTTGGGCAGATCCCCTTTTCAACACATTTGCCTCAGTTCTGGCTGCGGATCCCCTCCCACAGAAGACCACCAGTGTAAACATCGCCAATGCAGCTTCTCCTGACCCACACGTTGCAGGGCCTTGGTCCAGGAGCTGTGGGTCCTGCAGAAGCTCAAGGCACACACTGTTAAAACTGGTCCCCCACCCACACAGCCTCCCAACCACCAGTGCAGGCAACAGGTATCATTTCACAAACAGACCAGCACACCTTGTTAAAATGTGCCGCACCCCAGCAGGGCACCAAACAGCCCACAACAGGCTAAGAGAGCCTCTGCAGACAACTAGACTAAAGGAAAAAGTGGCCAGGACACAATAGCAGAGCATATGCAACACACACAGGGGACACTCCCTGAAGTGCCAGGTCCTGGAGAACAGGGGACAACTGCACTGCGGGGCACTACAGGACCTCTTCTTCATAAGGCCATGACCTTCAAGAGGACACATAGCTGACTTTGCGAAACACAGAGAAACAGATATAGAGAATTAGACAAAATGAGATGAGGAATATGTCCCAAATGAAAGAACAGGACAAAACCACAGCAAGAAAGCTGGTGCAGCCACTCTGGAAAACAGTACAGAGGTTCCTCACAAAGTTGAAAATAGAGCTACCCTACAACTCAGCAGTTCCACTGCTGGGTATTTACCCCCAAGATACAAATGTAGTGATCCGAAGGGGCACATGCACCCCGCTGTTTTTGGCTATTGTGGACATTGCTGCAATGTCCACAATAGCCAAACTATGGAAAGAGCCTAGATGTCCATCAACAGATGAATGGATAAAGATGATGTGGTATATAATATACAATGGATTACGTAGCCATCAAAAAAAAGAAATCTTGCCATTTGCAACTACATGGATGGAACTAGAGGGTATTATGCTAAGCGAAATAAGTCAATCAGAGAAAGACAAGTATCATATGATCTCACTGATATGAGGAATTTGAGAAACGAGACAAAGGATCATAGGGGAAGGGAAGGAAAAATGAAACAAGATGAAACCAGAGAGGGAGATAAACCATAAGAGACTCTTAATCTCAGGAAAGTAACTGAGGGTTGCTGGAGTGGAGGTGGGGTGGGAAGGACGGGGTGGCTGGGTGAGGGACACCGGGGAGGGTATGTGCTATGATGAGTGCTGTGAACTGCGTAAGACTAATGAATCACAGACCTGTACCCCTGAAACAAATAATACATTATGTTAATTTAAAAAAAATCACAGCAAGAGACCAAAGAGAAATGGATGTAAGTAGTATGACTGATAGAAAATTTAAAGTAATGATCATAAACATACTCACTGGACTTGAGAAAAGAGTGGAGGACATCAGTGAGACCCTTAACACAGAAATAAAAAAGAACACATCAGAGATGAAGAACACAATAATGAAAATAAAAATACACTAAATGGAATAAATAGTAGGCTAGAGGAAACAGGCAAATGAATTAACAACCTGGAAGACAGAGTAATGGAAAGTAATCAAGCTGAGCGTGTGAGAGGAAAAAAAAAATTATACAAAAGGAGAACAGACTTAGGGAACTCAGTGACTCCATTAAGTGTAATGACATTCAAATTACAGAGATCCCAGAAGAAGAAGAAAAAAAAAAGAGAAATTTTAGTTGAAGAAACAATAGCTAAAAACTTCCTGAATCTGGGGAAGGAAACAGATACTGAGATCCAGGAGGCACAGAGATCCCCAGACAAAAATCAACCCAAGGTGATCCACATGAAGACACATAGTAATTAAAATGGCAAAAAGTAGTGATTAAGAAAAAATTTTAAAAGCAGCAAGAGAAAAGAAAACCATTACATACAAGGGGAAACCACAAAAATCTATCAGCTGATTTTTTTTTAGCAGAAAGCTAAAAAAAATCTGGCCTTTGTAGGCCAGAAGACAGTGGCATGATATATTGAAAGCACTGAAAAGAAAAATCTGCAGCCAAGAATACTCTATCCAGCAAGGCTGTCATTCAGATTAGAAGGAAAGATAAAGAGTTTCCAGGAGGCACAGAGATCCCCAGACAAAAATCAACCCAAGGTGATCCACATGAAGACACATAGTAATTAAAATGGCAAAAAGTAGTGATTAAGAAAAAATTTTAAAAGCAGCAAGAGAAAAGAAAACCATTACATACAAGGGGAAACCACAAAAATCTATCAGCTGATTTTTTTTTAGCAGAAAGCTAAAAAAAATCTGGCCTTTGTAGGCCAGAAGACAGTGGCATGATATATTGAAAGCACTGAAAAGAAAAATCTGCAGCCAAGAATACTCTATCCAGCAAGGCTGTCATTCAGAATAGAAGGAAAGATAAAGAGTTTCTCAGACAAAACCTACAGGAATTTATGACTACTACACCAGCCATACAACAAATGTTAAAGGGGACTCTTTGGAAAGAAAAAACCGGAATTAAGAGTATGAAAAGTAGGAAACATAAAAGCAGTATAAAAATAAGTATATCTGTAAATATCAGTCAAGAGATTCACAAAGGATATAAAATATGACACCATATACCTAAAATGTTGGGCAGAAAGGAATAAAGAATGGGTTCAAACTTAAGCAACCATCAACTTAACATAGACTGCTATATGCGGAAGATGCTATATACAAACCTAATGGTAACCACAAATCAAAACCAGCAATAGATATGAAAAGAATAAAGAAAAAGGAATCCAAGTATATCACTAAAGAAAGGCAAAACACCACGAAAAAGAGCAAGAGAAGGATTAGAGAAAAACTACAAAACAATCACAAAGCAAGTAACAACTTGGTAATAAATTTATACCTATCAATAACAACTTTGAATATAAATGGACTAGATGCTCTAATCCAAAGACATAGGGTGGATGTCTCTGGATTACATAGAGTGGATAAAAAAACAAGATCCATCTATAACGCTGCCTACAAGAGACTCATTTCAGACCTAAAAGCAACTGCAGATTGAAAGAGGATGAAGAAAGATTTGTCATGCAA